CTTGCCCTTGCTCTTATGGCTTCTTTTCTTGTGGATGAGCATTTCGGAATCATCTTGCTTGTCCTGCAGATCGATGTCATGTAGCCAGGCCGTACCAGCGACACTGAGTTTGCGAAATTTCATAATGTTGTCCGTCAAAGTTCCGGTCTTGTCAGAGAAAACGTAGCTAACCTGGCCCAGCTCTTCGTTGATGGTGGATGTTCGGGCCTCAAAGGGGGTGTCAGTAGCTTCATCGTACATGTCAATGTCGTTAAGCAGGATCATTTGCCAGACTTTGACAATTTCCATGGAAACATAGAGGGAGAGAGGGATCATGGTGTTAAACATGATGATGAAACTGGTCAGGATTGGGAAGAATGCGACTCTGGCGTTGATGAGATACCACGAGTCTTCTTCCGTACCGCTGCGCCAGACCTGGTACGCCACTGTATTGAAGATTGCCAGGAGGATGACAAAGATAACAATGACAATAACGACCTTGTTAACGATAGCTTGTAGAGCAGGGGCCTTGATGCGGGGATTTTTGTTGGAGTTCATTCGAATCTTGCACTCCTCGCCGCTGTAGATGACCATTCCATAAGCTTCTGGAGTGTTTCTCAAGACACTGCCTCGGTAGATGATCTCGTTGTTGCTCAAGGGTGCCGTTTCGCCTTTTAGGGCCACTTTGCCCTCGAAGTTGTAAAGATCGATATTTGGATCCTCGACAACGAAATGGGCATCGCAACTAGCGATCTTCTCTGGCGTATCACAATGCTTGCCCAGATTTACTGGGGCTTGTTTGCTTTTGAGGTTGGTTTCACCATCCAAGGCCATTGTTTCGATATATGCAATACCATTGGCGCCTTTTGAGCTCAGCAGAACCAAATCAGCCGGAATAGATTCGTCTCTTTCGAGTTTGACGATGTCGCCGACCTGGAGATTCTGCCATTTCGTCTTCGCCCAGTGAATTGGGCCTCCAGAGTGAGAGTTGCCCTCTTCGACTTGAGATTCAGATGATGATACTGGTTGATATGCATGGAGTACGGATGCTTCGCGGTTGTTCTCTATTTTGTCCAGGCGGTAACGGCGTAGATCGTCATAGCCTTCCTTGCCCATGGAAAGCGCAACAAAAAACAATAACGGGATAATCGTGGTATNACGCTGTACCAATGTTAGAAGATTGTCATCCAAAATCAAATACAATTACTCACTTCCTGTGGTACTTAGACCGGGTATCATTTGTAAAATAGAAACACAAAGGAAATAGAAATTAGCGAGTTTAGAGAACTGCGCGAACAGTTGACGAGGCACGAAGTTCCAAGCCGTGTATCGACTGGAACGGATGTAGTTCGTGATGTATGCTTTGCCGGTCCGTTCGTCGAGTAGCGTAATCTTGCGAGAAGCGTCCAGGTCGATGTGTCTGCCGTCTTTCGTCGGTGGGATCTCCTGGATACGCAAGACAAACTTCCTAGCATTGTGGTATCCAGCCTTTATCGATCGCCAAGTTTGGTTGCGTGCAGTATGCTGTTGTATCCAGGACTGGTAGTGGGGCAAGGCTCCTATGCCTTGAACACCCTGGCGCTGGCGTATTGCAGCAAACTTGGTATCTTGTTCTTCCAGATCGCGATCGTCATCGTTCACCCGTGCAACTTCGACTACAGTATCCATGCTCTTCTTGCTTGAATGAGGTGTGGTTGGGGTCTGAGAGGATCCCTGCTGGCTAGATGGGCCGATTGGGGCCATCTCAATTATAGATGAAGGCGAGTCAAGAGGTTTAGCAGAACGATCGTGCATGTTGCGCTGGAACAGCGAACTGCGGAGCGAGTAGCCTCGCGATCGTGTCTGTGGTGACATGGGCGACATTTTGGGACGAGAGTTGCTCGCAGCTGCGGCATTGGTATCCACAGAAAGATCGGGCCTTGTATCTTCATCACTCTTCCTCTTCTTTCCTCGCGACGAGGTATCTGGTCTCTGCTCTTGCAAGGAAAATCTGACGCGGGACGGGTGTTCGCTAGACTCGCGTACGGTGTGAGTAGGAATGTCGGTGCCTGACGTCGAAGGACTGGATTGTGGGCGGTCGGTCGAGTGGGCATCGTGACGAGCGTGGATCGTATCAATGTCGTCGTGGTCGTACTGGGCAGAGTGTCTCCTTCGAACACCGCCCAACTCGTCCGAGTGGTCGTCGTGGCCCGCCATATCGTTGGACAGTGAGAAAGATGGTCGTTAGGTACGGTACTTCATAGCAGGTCATGAGGGCATCTTCAGAAAAGAGCAAAGCGATTGATTGTTGCAGACGCGGCGCCAACGAAACATTGAGGGTCTCGAAGGTTGTTTGGCCGCTCACACTGTGGCTTGGTGACGTTGTTGCAACGAACGCGCAACCACCGAACCTTTTTAGATTCTGACTTTCCCACCAGCCCTTGACCTTCCTGTTTGACATTTTACAATCTATCGTATTGCCCTCGGCACTCTCTTTATATCAAACAACTATACGATGCCTCACGCTGTTCTGAACAGACTCCACGCTCATTGTCGCATCCAGTCGAGTCCCAACAAGGTTCCGCACGCCTCGGCCTCGAACCACCATGGGGTCACAGCCACCACCAGCCAAGAAGTCGAGACACCCCGCGTGTGGGGTCCTCGACCTGTAGCAAATCAATTGATAAAAGCTGACCTGTCTTTGATGATGGTTGTGATTTCAAGCCTTCGTGTCGTTAATCATATATCATAAGCGAATACCTAGCTATTAATGCCATTCCCCCAGACTCCTGGCTACATATCGTTTCATGTCATTCATAATCATCAAGTTCTTCATCCTCTCTGCCTATTCGTTTATAGCCAGGCTGGAGTGCGTCTACTGAGCCTCAGACTATTGGTCTCATGAATCCATGTCCACGTTGGGTAGTCACCCTCTGTTGACGGCGTGTCAGCACGTAGCGGTTTCCATCTCTTGCTGGCCGATGTTTGTGTTTGCTCGCAATCCTGTCGTTTGTGTCCATCGCATTCATGATCCTTTTCTGATACACCTCTTTCTCCTGGTTCGTACGAAAGGCTATGCTCACTCTGCCTGCAGGAATGTCATACCACACGTTGCTAGGCATGAACTCTTTCCATTCGAGAACAATATTGGGTATCAGTCTTGTACTCCATCGAAGACTTCCATCGACTCTGCGCCATGAGTGCATACTCCCTAGCAGGAGACGAGCCCAGCGCTTGAGAAATAGACGAGAAGCCTTTTCGTTGAACCTGCTGCGGTCGTACTTCTGCTGAAGTGTCCCGACAGGCTCGGACTGTTTGAGGACTCTATGCAATGCCTTGTTCAGATACCGGGTCTCTTTGCGCTTTGCCTCGTAAAGTAGCAATGCCTCACACATATAGTGCCACATGTCTCGGGTCCTCTGTTGACGGAAGAGGCTCTTGATCAGTTTGTCGTACATGTCTAGTGTCGGACGTACGTTGTAAGGTTCATTTCGCATGACCTCCCACAGCTTGTGTACACTACCCTTTGGTAAGACGGTTTGTTCTCCTCTCGATGCCTGACGACGCAGAGAAAGTACAAAGGTCCAGTTGAACAACTCATGCCAGACATGGTCGAGAACCTTGACGTCGTAGGTTTGCGATATATGTTCAACAAATCGCAAGGCTGCTGGAATCTCGTTGTTGATGCCGAAAACATGAGCGACAGCATAAATCAAGAAGGGAGTTGGGTAGAGGGGAGACGTCGGCGTAATGTCAAGCTCATGCTTCGGTTGACCATCTTTCAAGCCACCAACAATAGCATCCAAGTCGACTTTCCACACTTGCCTCAGGAGCTTCTTAACAGTATCAAGGTCTCCTTCTCGGCCAACACCAAGGATGAGAAGACGAAACGTTTCCTCGTCTGGCACAATTTCGTTCTTTAGCATCTCGCGGTGGAGTTCCAGCACGCCCTCTTTGATGCCTCCATTGCCGAAACGGTAACCTGCATGTCTCGCGCTGAGACTTGACTGAGAGCGCGCTCTGATTCTGAAGTTGGTCACTCGACGGCTATGCCTAACATCTGGGTCATGACGGAGATTCGACACAATAGCACCCAAATAGTTGTTGTAGCACTTGAGGTCGGGTGCGACATTATCGGTCTGCATTGACTTCCAGAAGGTTTCTGCGACATCCCTAAGGCCGATCCAACGCGCAAATCCAAGGATGAGGCTATAATCAACTACACTCAGAGTTTTGCCAGATCTTTTGCGCTGGTCGAGTATTTGAACAGCGTCCAGAAGATGGCCCCTAATCAGATCGTACGCAGAAGACAGGTGCAACTGTTGGACCATAGCAGGACTGAGTCGAAAGTATGGCATGACTGCTTTGGCCAGATCGTTCCTTGGTTGCAGGTACGCCAAAACTTCAGTAAAGGTGTTTTCTGGGAGATTTCGGATGAAGTCCTGATTGTTGTCACTTGCGGAACGAAACACTTTGATCAACCCGCGATAGTCTTTGCGTAACAATGAGCTTTGAATGTCCTCATATAAGCTGTCAACATTTTTGGGTTCGTCAATGATTCTGTAGTCTTCAGGCTGGAACGACAGCCTGTCTGAGACAGCAGGGCCATGGTCTCGAGAAAATGATCTCCGGATAATGTACTTGAGACTTGTAGATTGACGAGATTGTCCAGAGCTGTAGCTTTCACATTGTGTCGATGAGAGGTTGTTTCCAGCGTGAAAAGAAACGCAATCCTTTCCTCGCAGTCTGTGAAGTGAAGAAGAAGAGAAGAAACAAGTCGACTCGAAGGAAGTGGCCAGCCTCGCAAGCGATGGCATTGCTCGCCCGTTTCGCGCCATGTGGAGCTAGCAGTGCGGCTCGAACCTTCCCCGGCGAATCTAACGCAAGGGGCGTGGACGGCGGACAGTCGCGAGTTGCCAAGCACAGCGCTCTCTGCCAAGAAGAGCGGAACTCGCAAGCAAGCAGCTTCGCGACATCACCGTCGTCGTCAGAAGCGCCAGAGCAATCAGAGCCACCAAAAACCACACAACCTTGATGCGCAGATGGCCGATGTTGAAGACAACACCGCCAACCCGGTGAACGAGCCACTGGATCTTGTGCGCCTTTCGCTCAACGAGATTGTCTTTGTCAAGCTGCGCGGTGATCGCGAATTGCAGGGCAGACTTCACGTACGAGTCCTCGTCCGTTCTGCTTGGACGCTCAATAGGCGTGCTGACACAGATGCGCAGGCTTACGACAGTCATTGTAACCTGGTTCTCGGAGAAGTCGAAGAGACCATCTACGTTATCGACGATGATGACGAGTCTGAGAGCGTAAGGGTAGGATACATCCAGACCCAGTCCTTGCAATTGCTTGCTAACACCTTCGCCAGNACGCTCAAGAAGCAGTCCGAAATGCTGTTTGTCAGAGGTACCTACTCCACCCGCAATCCATCGTACCGGACCATCTCAGCTCACACATCATGCACAGGAGACTCGGTGGTCTTGATCTCGCCCCAAGCACAATAGCCACCCTAAGCCAAACAACCCCATAACGACGAGAAAAACAACACGAACATCTCATGATGAGACCCAGCACGAGAACGAACGATTGACTAGCGACGATTCTTCTCACAGCATCGAGTCAACAAGCAGGAGACCACGTCTCTCTTTCAACGAACAGCCAATATAACAGCTATAATCGTATTCAATAAACACACATTCTGGTTTCTTTGCTTCATTACAGTCGTCGTGCCAAAATCCAACATAGAGAAAGGAGAAAGGGACTGAATAACTGCTGGGGGTATCGACGCTGATCAAACAAGCTCCCATCTGGCAGCAAACGCATATGCACCCGAGAACCCGCCCTCCTTGTTGTAATCGCTCTCAACCATTCCTCTGCCATCACGACCCTTCCAGTTCGTCACCGTACCCAACTTGATCTCCTGGCCAGGCTGTCCGAGCTCGCTAGGCCGTATATCGACCCACCAGAAATACCCGTTGGTCTGCAGAGGAATCTCACGCGGCGGTCTGCCATTGCCCTCTGGCAACATAATCAGGTACAAATAGTGTTTTCCCTTTCCGTTCCGCTCGTTGTTCCAGTGCTGGCACACCTTGTTGAACTGGAAGCGTATGTAGGGCTGTGGATCGTTGACAGAGATCTGCTTGACCCTGGGTGAGACAGAATGGTCATCGATGCCTTCATCTGTTGTCATGTTTCCGAAGGTCTGCACCGCATCTTGACCATTCGTATCACCCAACAGGTACTCTGCCCATGTGATCGTATGTCTGCCATCGCTCCTGTAGAACCGGTTCTTATCGCTCGGGAAATGGCTGCGTCCAAACTCCTCATTGCTGCCAACGAAATGTATAGGATGGAAGGCTCGTTCATATGGTTGACCCCATCCTCCAGAGTGACCTGCGCCCCAACACGGATCGATCAGCTTCCATTGACCATTGTCAATCTTGACCACATTCCAGGCATGGCCAGTTGCGCTTTCGGGAGGTAACGGAGCTCCAGCGGTGACGGCCTCGAAACCAAGGCCTTTTCCATGGCCACCAACAACCATACTCTCCAATCCAGCCTTGGAGGCAAGTGCAGTAAACAGACCAGCATATCCTTCGCAAACGGCAAGACCGGTGGCCAGTGTTGACGCCGGAGTTGAACCTTTGACAGTGTTGGTATACAGCGCGTGAGTATTGTAGTCAATGTTGTGATGCAACCAGACAAAGATAGCTCGAGCTTTATCAGTCGGTGACGGGAAAGGTGATGTGAGCGATTGAGCAAGCCATCCTAGATCTTGTGATGGGATTGACTGTCTTGGGAAGCGTGTAGCGTGAGCGTCAACGACGGAGAAGTCTCGACACTTTAAGCAAGATCCTTGGTTTGATGTTGATGCTGCCGATACTGCAGCTGTGGCCCCATTAGTGGTTCCACTAGCACTAGTATTCGGTTTTGAGGCTAGTAGCTTCGAAAGATCAGGCCTAGATGAAGCAGGAACTGGTGGTGGTGCGGCAGACTCGGGTCGCGCAACAGGTACACAAGGTGCCTTAGGGACAGTGTTAAAGCCCATCGTTAACGCAGATCTCTTAGGAGCGGTCGGTTTAGTGGTGCCTTGATCCGTCACGCTTGGAGAAGAAGATGGGGTCCTAGTAGGTATTGGTGGCCTGGAGGGCAATTGCGGTCTTGCTGGCTCTTGTAGAGCAGGCAATACATTAGGCGAAGACTTGGTCTGCTGCAGAACAGGGCCACGCTCTGGCAGGCTAGGCGCTCGCTTAGGAGGCAAAGGAGGCAATGCTGCCGCATCAAACGAAGGTGCTCGGATTGCAAAGAGTGCTCCAGAATTACTGGTAGCCGAGCTTAGACCAGCCCGATTAGATGCTGTTAAGGTAGAAGACCTGGTCGACACTACAGATTCGCTAGACTGTTTCCTGTTGATATCTGGTCTTGCAGACAGATTTGATGGCGTCTCTGAAGGTCTCCTAGATGGTAATTGTGGTACTGGCCCGGATGGTTGTCTCGGTGGCAGTTTTGGAGCAGCACTTCTAGCAGGCATCACTGGCGGCGTGCGCTGAACCACACCATTCATGCTACCTGTCGATGGCTGATTCCCGATATCATGACCTGCATCGGCCGCAGATGCATGAGCACCAAGAGGGGGCACATTGGTCGTCTGTGTTCTTGATGGAAGATCCGGTCTCTTTTTTGGTATGTTGGGAGGTCCTGCTTTGCCATTGGATTGACGACCTACTTGGTCCAATTTCAAAGCGGCGATGCGCGCCGCAATACTGGTATTGCCGTTCGGCTCTGCCATCCTGTCAAAATAATTCGAGAGATGTGGAAACTCTCAAAGAATGTCTGGTTTGAACGAGAGATATGGAGTTGTTCAGAAGAAAGCCCTTGTTCGGTATCAATGATTCAGTCGTGCAGCCTCGCAGGTCGCCTGATGGGCGCTTGTAGACGCGATTCCTTCGCGTACCGTAGGCAGACAGGCCACCAGTGTGAGAGAGAAACAGATGGTTTCAGCACTTGATAGCACTGTAGTAGTGTGAGAAATATCAAGAAAGACTAAACATTGTTATATTCATGTTACAGGTGTCTGGTTCAGGCACATTGGTTGTGCCGCGTATCCGCAAGAGAGTTTCCACCTTGGCGGGGGTGTCTTTCTTCTCATTTCTTGGATTGAATGCATCTTGACTCAACAACTTCAAAAGGATTGCTGTGCAAACTTTGATTGCGCTCATGGACGGTCTGCTTAGTGGCCGGCAAACTGTCCACATCAACGAGTCTTCCAGCAGCACGAACGCCTTCTAGGCGCTGCTAAAATACACACTGAGTCGAAGCCCGACATTGCTTAACGTCAAACACGTCCAAGGATCATCAAGGCTATCTCTTTATCACGAAGGCCTTGACAGGCAACATACAAGGTGTGAATATGGAAGGTCGCTGTGAGACTCGAGTAAGCAGTTGATCCAGAATATTTTGCGATGACCCCTCGCCATGCATTCGCAACCGAGTGATCGACCTCACAGGTGCAATATCCAATACGAGTAGCACAAACATGACAACTCCTGTAGCTGATCATGTTTCCTTCAACCCTAACAGAAATGCCTCAATCCAGATACCTAAATCCACAGCTGTCCAATACACATTGTCAGGACTACCCAAGGTTGTGTTACACGAAGCTGAGAACTGCTGCACGGGGCTCTAGGTGCAGGTCCAGATGCAGGTGGAATGCATTCCCTTCGCTAAGATGCAAGACAACACACCGGCCTGAAGACAGCTGCTGGTGTGCTTGCGACTCATATGATAAAACATGCGGCCCGTTTGAGTGCACATTCTGGCATGATTGGCCTCGACCCACGCTTACCCACACCACTATACACTTGCAGAGAAGGATTGTACCCCTGCGCTTCCGTCGCCAAGAGAGCTGGTCTACATCAATATATCCTGGGTTGTCTGCCATGCAAGCTTCTAGTCGAATCGTCTCAGATCGTTCAACTCCATCATGACTTTCTCGTGGATTTTATACCTGTCTGCTCTCTCCACCGCCGCTTATGCGAGTCCATTAAACTCTTTTGAGTACGACTATATTATTGTGGGTGGTGGCACGGCTGGCTGCGTGCTTGCCAATCGCTTGTCAGCAAATCCATCCATCTCAGTAGCTTTAGTCGAAGCCGGCCCCACTGTCTTCAATGACTCTCGAGTTCTTGTTCCCAGTCCTGCTGGACCCACATGGGGCACTGAACTCGACTGGAACTATACTACCGTACCACAAGTATATGCCAACAATTCGATACTGCAGTATCACGCTGGTAGAGATGTTGGAGGCACAAGCACTATCAACGGTATGAGGCTGCCATCTAATCATTGAGTCTTTCTAATGATCATCTANGGCATGGTATACCTTCGGCCAACCGCTGATGAGGTCGATTCATGGTCAGCATTGGGTAATCTAGGACTGTCATGGGACAGTCTGCTACCCTACTACAAGAAGAGCGAGCATCTGCAACTTCCTACCGCACCAAACGCCAGCGCAAAGGCCTCCTATGAAGCTAGTGTACACGGATTCGCCGGTCCAGTCAAAGTCGGCTGGGGCAACGATTTGAATCCAGGAGAGTATGGTCAAGCATTGAACACAACCTGGCAATCCCTCGGCTTCTCTTGGAACAGGGACCCGAATACAGGTAACAATACTGGACTTGCCTTGTTTCCCATCGAGAAAGACACTGTCTTGCAAATCAGACAGGACTCTGCTAGGTCTTATTACTTGCCTGTGATGGGCCGACCAAATCTGCACGCCTTCACCAACACCACTGCGCTCAACATCAACTTGGATGGTGGTAGAAGTCATCATGGACCCCAAGGTCCGATTGTAGCCAAAGGCGTCAATGTGATCTTGCCCTCTGGAAAGAAGCAGTCCTTGCGCTCCAAACAGGAGGTCATCCTTTCGGCTGGGACGTACAGGACTCCTGGTCTTCTTGAACGTTCTGGCATTGGCAATCCATCGTGAGTATCACTTAACGTTGTATGTTTTGCAAGACCGCGTATACTAAACATGTCANNCAGTATCCTACGCAACCTCTCAATCACCCCCAAAGTCGATCTTCCGGGCGTCGGAGCCCACCTCCAAGATCAATGGCTCGTAGGTGCCATCTACAATCCTAGCTTCACACTAGAGTCTCTAACTCCATCCTACAACGCCAAACCCATGACTGGCACTTTGACAGCCGCTGACCTCTTTGGCGATGAACTCGACACTGTTGCTGCGCAACTGTACAAAGACATTCCTTCCTATGCACGCACGCTCTCAGAAGCTAGCAATGGTGCCATCTCTATCCAAGCACAGGAGCAAATCCTTCTTACTAGAGCGAACTTGTTCTTCAAGAAAAACATAGCAATCGGACAATATACGTTCCAGGTCTATGGGGGCAACTGTTGGGTCACTTTACCTCTGTCAACAGGAAACGTGCATGTAAGCTTTTACTTTGCTTCTTCTCTCACTATGGCGTTCCAAGAGCTAACATTTTACTTTTTTTTTTCCAGNTCGTCCTCCGATCCCGCAAAACCACTCCTGAACCCCAATTTCATGCAACTACCTTGGGATACTCTGGTCATGCAACGCCTCTTCCTCGTGCTGCGCCGCATCCTCTCTTCTCCCTCTGTACAGCACGCCCTCGGCCCCAACGCCACCACCGAACTCTCCCCTGGTTACTCTCTCGTACCTGCCAATGCCTCGCTGCCCCGATGGACTTCATTCTTCCAATCTGCACTTACGCCCGTTTGGCATGCGGTGGGATCTGCAGGTATGAGAAGACGCGATTGGGGTGGTGTAGTGGATCCGCAATTCAGAGTTTATGGAACAAAGGGGTTGAGGGTTGTGGATGCGAGTGTAATTCCACTGGAGGTCAATGGGAACCCGACGAGTACTATATATGCTCTGGCGGAGAAAGCTGCGGAGGACATTTTGGCTGATTGCGAGTAACTAGTTGACGAGGGGGATGGGTCGTCGTGAATGTGGCTCTAGGCAAAACAGATAGATTGACGTTGTGACTGAACTTCTGAAATACAAATGTGTGCTATGCAGATAATACACGGTCATTCCCATCACAATCGTGTCTATTGGCTTCAAGTGGTCTCATCTTATGTCCGATTTTTCACCTGTTCTTATTGATGATGCTAGCCTCCTATACCTCAAATGCACCAAATACTACACGGTGGATACAACTAATCCCCTGTAAGTCATCATACTACGACACAGATGGACAAAAGCCAAGGGGAAAAACCCCACGTTCGCATGGGCAACAAAAAACAAAAGATCAATTTGGAGTAGCTGGGAATCGAACCCAGAACCTTCTCCAACTCAGGACTGCTTACCACAAGCAATGCTAAGAAGATGTCATACCACTAGACCACAACCCCATTTGATAGGACGAGTCTCGGCGTTATAGTAAATAATCATCGTTAGCAGTGAGTCTACCAGCTGTGACCATTGTCAGCATCATCACTAGTCTGAGGACTTTGCTCTGGCGTGTCATTGGTTGTTCCTCACTCTATACAGCTATCCAATACTTCTCGGGCCCATGATAGTGCCTTTTCGTGAGTTTGACCATTCTGGTTGGGTTTCTTGAATACTACGAGCATAAACATATGTGGTTTTGTTTGATCTTTTGATCAAGCTTAGTATATATTCAATTTCTGACAATATATCGACCATCATGATCGACATGACTCTGAGACTTCCATAGTAGAAGCTTGAAGTAAGTAAGGGCACAAAAGCACTGCCGTGACTTTGCTAAAAATGGTTGTTGTCATGCGAGACGTGTTTTATCGTCAGCAGACATTGCTTGTGAGGTGACCCGGACTCTATTTCGATATCTTGGCGATGCTACCTTGAACCAAAACATACACGACTGGGTGACTGCCTTTAATAAAGGGTTAGGAGAAGTGGAAAATAGCTATATGGCAAGTAGAAGACACGAAAGAGTGTTGGAACGCGCGGCGTTGCGCGATGCTGTGTTCTGTTACGTTACTTATATACTGCTTTGATCTTCCGAGTGGTGCTCCTACACCTAGCAATAATCTATCCGTCCTAGTGTTACAAGCCTGATCCGATGCGGTGATCCATAACGTGTCCATCCAGCATGTATCCTTCCCTTTCCTTAATCCCAATGTTCATACAGTAAATAATGTCATAAGCTCATCATGTGGTAGTGGTGGTGGTATCTGTGTGCTCAGTAGGGACGTCCACAGAAGTCGTCGCATGTAGAGCGGTATTTGCGTTGGTGATGGCCGCAAGAGTGGTGTCAGTAGGGTTGCTGGTAACAGCAGCGCCAACATCGACATTCATGATGTCGAAGTCATCGAAGTTGAAGTCGAGAGATCTTCCAGGTGTCATGAAGGTAGGCATGGCATCCGAGAAGTCATACTGACGACCTGGACTGAGGAATGGCGCCTCGTGATGTGCATCGCTCAGCAGTTGAGTCAGTTGGCGAGTAAAGGGCGTCATCTGGTTCCTGGATGGCGATGATAGGTTCGCCCATCTTGACGGAGTTGTCGGGAAGAGGTTCTTAGCCTCGGCCGAACTAAAAGTGGGCAGGAATGTTGAGCCTTGATTGCCGCTAGGGGTCCGGGTGTTACGCGCTACAGTGCGAAGGGAAGAGCGTGAAGGTGTCGGCGTCTTGAGCAGAGTGTCCTGGGTAGCGGCGTTCTTCTCGGGAGTCTTGCGAGGCGTCTTGAAAACATTAGGCGAACATTCGAACAAATGTGCGAGATCATCGTCCTCTTGATCCCGTGGTGGGCAATTCTCCTTGTTGGGTTCTTCGACGAACGCCATCTCGATAATAGTGCTCGATGGGGGTTTAGAACCCGGAAGAGCCAGATCGTCGAGTGTCTTCATCTGACCATTTCTCTCACGTGGAGAAGGGAACAGCAAGCGACGAGTCGGTCTAGGTGTCAGTTCTGCCTCGACTTCGATAGGACTCTCTTGCGACCCAACGAACCGAGCAGGGCTACTTTGAATAGCACGATGCAATGCCGCATCCAGTTCAGGACCGGTCCACTGCTTTTCGTTCTCGCTAGGCTTGGACTGGGCTTGCACACTACTTGCCCTCGGACGATTGACGGGCGGAACAGTTTCATCGTTCGCTCGCTCCTCACTAGATCGGCTGTTGCTTTCGTCCTCAGGCTGAGCAGCATCAGTGTACAATGCTGAAGGCTGATCAACAAAATAATCAGATTGCGGCTCCGATGGACCGGCAGGTGGCATGGCCTTGCGTTGTTGCTTCTTGCTCTTGATTGCTTGCTTCTTGACCCACTTGTCAGACGGTCTCATAGCTCTGAATTTGTTGAACCAGAGGCCGCAAGCTACTCCTGTCAGTGTGTGGTCATAATTTATGTACTCATTCAACTTACGATTGCACACTTGCATGGTATCAAAGCCCACCGTTGCGTCTTGTGATTCCTTGGTCTTACGCATCGACTTGATGATACGATACTTGATAGACTTNNTTTGGGTTTCAGGATCTCGTTCGAGAACCTCTACACCAATGGTCACGGTCTCATTCTCTGCAGGATCCATATCTTCTGGACAACCCTGAACCATCTTCACAANAAGATGGCGCCATGTTGGCGTTTCAATAGCACCGCAGTGACCACAGAAAGGAGGCATCTCACCATTCTCGATCGACTTTTGGAGTTTGTCCTGGATGTTCTTCTTCCTCTGAGCCCCAGAGCCACTACGAGGTGCTTTGATTTCAGTAGGAGCAGGTGATGCTGCATCAGATCTCACAATCATCGACGCTGATCTAGCCATACTCGGCTTGTTCAACTGCGACTTAGGTGGCAACGCGACAGAGTTTCTACGCGAGCTTTGTGCCAATACAGCATTGCGAGCTTTCTTCCGCGACAATTCTGCCTGAGCAGCGGCGGCGTCGTCCATTTTCCCGGTGTGCGACATCTGCATTCTTGTAGGCAGCAACTCAGGAGGTCCAGGTGTCTGCTCGATGAAGGAGATACCAGAGGGCGGCGCCTGTGTTCTAGGCCTGTACTGCGCAGCAATTTGCATGTCTTCATCACACACAGATCTGTCTTCGTCATCGTCGTGGCATTCAAATGTCGAGCTCATGTATCCAGAATCAGCTGGTCTGGAGAATGATGGCAGCCCTGGACTAGAAGGCTCAGGGAGAAGAGGTGGCGACGATGGGAACTCGGAAGGTGTGATGCCATTGTGGTCGTTTGCAGCATCTTCGGGTGAACTCATGGCCGAATCAGACGGAGGGGCAAGGCAGTTGGGAGTCGGATCGTAAGGAGAGTTGTAGGTCTGGACTCTGGCAAGGGACGACTCACGGCGGAGAATGCTTCCGGCGTTGGGACGAGAGCCAGGCAAGTTCATCTGTGGGACTGGCGTCGGGACTCTGGGTGGCGGCTCTAGCGAGTTGCCCATCATACCCGGGCGCATGGCGACAGGCTTGTGTACACGAATAGATGCTGCAGTACTGGCTGTGACGCGTAATGAATCCGATGGGCCTCCAAAGGCAGACTTGCCACGCCAGTCGGCCTGTGTCACCTTTACTCTTTTTCTTGCTGGTCCCTCCTCTTGATACTGCTCGGATCCAGCCATAGATCCACGGCGCTCTTGGTGCATATCGCTGTGTACTGACATCCTTGATGACGGCCTGGGGAGGTTCTCGGACGGGTATGCTTGAGGTCCAGATTGATTCATGGCGGGGCTGTTGACTCGGCTTGGTGGATTACTGTATGATGGGGTAGGACCGGAGAAGGAGGTTTGACCATTGAAGCTAGCGTTGGAACCCTGTCGCGGACGTTGGTAGGACATCATATCGTGGTCGGCTGTGTCCTGCCTCATTTGCGTGAGCGTCAAGCCTTCTTCGAAGGGAGCTCCGAGGGATAGACCAGACTGTGAGAAAGAAGCAGACCAGGCGTTGGGATCGAAGCCGGCGGACATGGCGGGGTTGATGTTACGGTATATCTCCATGCTCTTGAGGAAATCACCCTGGACGGGCTTGGGTACTGGGACCAGCCTCAGTTTAACTTCCAACGTCTCCTTGACACCGTTCGAGAAAAGGCCCATGATGTTCTTGCAGACGCGACCAGTAATCATAGTCTTTGACTGATATGCAGGGGCAGTGGGGGTGGGTGAGGCGGCGGCAAGCACGGACGATAGCATTCCTTGGCCCACCAGCGGCGTCTCATACTCGGAGTAGTCGTAGGCATAGATGGTGAAGTCGCCCTGGACGAGACGCGACACGAGTTCAGGACTGGCCGAAACGATGGCGCGGATACACGTGCGTAATTCGATGACACCGATCTGAGTGTTCTCGTCGATGGGTACGGTGGGAACGTGGAGAATATCGGGGAAGCGAGCGAGGCAGTTCGTCTTGTTGTCGCTGTCGAACGTGTAAAGAACCTTGANCTGCGAGGACATTAGCATGAGCCGGAGCCATCGAGAAGCCATCGGATTACCTCTCATAGGACGCGTTGGGATGTCGAGAAAGGGATTTCCTGGTGACTGTGACGCGTCGACGTCCATAGCGAAGGATGCTGGGGACGACATTGTGCGTGAGAGGCGAGATCGAAAGGTGGTGGGTGACGAGAGTCGAAGGAGAGTCTCTCGGGTTACAGCATGCTAGGGAGAGAGACGAGAGGACGAGAAGGAGCGATGGGCGTGTCGGTTGCTGGAAGGTCGAAGGAAGGAAATAAAACGGACGCGATGAAGCAAAGGCGCAATTACAAGGTCGTTATGATCTCAGACCGGAAGGGAGGTTGGATGCAAAGACGCAGCTTTAGGAGCGCGACACGCGCGCGTAGAGAATGAAACTGTATGGAGGTCCGAGCAGACGACCAGAGGTATGCCGTCACCGTTGGCAACACAGATTTGTTCAAGAATGTGAAGCCGTCGTCTCTGCCACTTCTGCGAACTACGGGAAGCTCGAGAGGCCTTTGTATACTCCTACTCGAGGATGGGAAGGAGGCACAGAATCTATATCTCGAGCTCGTAGATGCAGAAGGAACGATGCTGACGCCTGCACAAGCCCGAGCATATTAAGCACAAAAGATCCGTGCGTTTCATCCGTGCGCATAACTTGATCTTATCGCAGACATTCGATGCAAGGTCGCCTAACTTCTGACACAAAACACTCAACATATGAAATTGTCTGTCTTGACCTTGTGTGCATCTCACAGACGATTTGGGGAGAGATAAAATTCTCGATACTCTGTTGAGAACATGTCTCGTAAGCAAGAAACCTTGCTAGCAAACGGATAATTCTTCTGGTATTTGTGTGGACGACGAGATTACTACAGACTATATACAAACGAACCGCCGGTCGACACACTAGTTTTCAGAGACTCTGGTCTCACGCCTCAGCGAGACCAGTCAGGAACTCGGAAAGACCGTAGGCACCAGGATCAGGGACCTCTTTGAAACCCTCATTGCCAACATACACTGATCTTCCGAGACTGGCCTTCATTCCCTTGGTGGCATCTGATCCTTCCTTGGCTGCCTGAGCTGCCTTCTTCAGATCCTTCGTCGCTACCAATTGCTCGATGAAGGGCTCAAGTGCGTCTACCAGAGTTCTGTCACCTGGTCTGGCTGGTGTGTATTTACCAAGACCCTCGAGAGCCTGCTTAGCAGCCTTAGCCCAAACCTCGGTTGTCACTTCCTTCTTTCCAGAGTCTGGCGACTGGGAACGTAGACCAGCAGCCAAAGCGTTCAAAAAGATGGCGTAGATGGCTCCACTGGTTCCATCCATTGACGTCTCGATCACAGAGACTATACGACCCAGGAAAATCGCCGCGTCTGTCGTGTCCAAATCGGATGACATGAGCTGAAGCACCGAATCTGCACCACGCTTGAGACCTATGCCGCAGTCGCCATCACCNNTGCAACGAAGCTCTGATCAGTACATGTTCTACGAGTACAGTAGACAATGACGCCACGAGACTGTCAACTTACCAACAATGGTGTCATAATGAGTGACATCTGGTTCAGCGGCGATTACGCGCTCCAGACCTGACTTGAGCACTTTCTTGGCCTCTTCAGTGTTGACTGTGGAAACTTTAGTACGAGTATCGAGCAGATGGGGCAGCAAACCTACGTGTAANNGGTTGCTAGATGTGTCTTGCTGGCCATCAGCTATAGCAGTCTTNNTTCTTCGGTCTGCAGCACTTGACTTGTTCTCCCAGGTCGCCGTGCTGATAGGTGTGGCCCAGCCAGTGACCTCCGAAGGAGCATCAAGCAACTGCAGCATAGATTTGTCCAAGCCAGTGTCCTGAAGCTTGAGCAGAGAGATACTGAAACCAATGCCGTTCAGACTAGTCATGAAAGTGCCAACGAGAATTCTGACAGGTCTGATGCTGTAGTGCTTCTTGAGTTGGTCCAACACTTCGGCAGCGATGCCACCCATCTCAAGAACGCTCACACCACCAAGGTTGTTGATCAAGACCACCGTCTCGTCTTCGCTGGAAACCTCGAGGAAACCGCGTTCTTTGTCTTCCTCGTCTAGCATGTGTGCCAACATCTGTTCGACCAGATCGGGGAGATCTGCTTTCGTTCGTTCGGAGCCTGCTTCGTTGTGGATACNCTGATAGGGCTAGTCAGAACCGAAGTTGGTAAAGTTGTGCTCGTAAGGCTTACCCATTCCAATCTCGACCTCCTCGAAAGTGAGTTCGTCTTCGCCAGCTTCGGTGACTTTGCGACCAGGAACGTGAACATGCGAGAGAGAAGATCCGATGGAGACGATATTGTCAGCAGCCAGCTTTGCGACATGGTGTACGTCTTTGAGGGGCGCTCTGTCAACTGGAGTCAGTCCCTCTATCCATGTTCAAATACTCTCTGACATACCNNCGGTAGCGGCTAGTGCTCCAGCAATCTTCTGCACGAGCACAGTTCCTGCAATACCTCTTCTGCCGACCTTGCCGCCCTTTGATCTAGGAACACCGGCATCGTCGCCAACAACAAGCATCTCGATGTCGACTCCTGTCGCTCTTGCTTTNNCTGAAACATGGGTCAGTATTTTTCCATTGACCGAACAGCTAGAGAAGCTTACCTCGACTCCCATACCAAAGTTAAGCACGTCACCAGTATAGTTCATAACAATGACCAAAACACCCTTTGCCGTGTCAACACGACTCAAGAGACACCTTCTGATCTGCTCTGCGGAGGGAGAAGCGAAGATGGTTCCAGAGATTGCTCCAGACAGAATACCAGGTCCGACGAAGGCCGCGAAAGATGGTTCGTGTCCTGCACCACCACCAGAAACGACTGATACTTGGGAAGCCTTGTAGAGACCTGCATCTCCACGACGGAAGATGATCTTGTTCTCTGCATCGAGGGCGACCGAAGGATTGGCAAGAGTGATTGACCTCAGAGCCGTGAGTACCAAGTGATTGGGGTCATTGATAAAATGTTTGGCGGCGGGGTTATACGTCGAGGTTCCAGACATGTTGGTGCAAGAGGAGAGCCGTTTCTGGTAAACGACAAAAGAGAAGATGGACAGCAGGAGCAGATGAGACAGAGAAGAGAGGGGAAGCATGTTGTAAGAAGTACCTCTCGTGTCCTGCCCCTCCAACGGGGACCACAAAAACCACCAACACTTGATGCTCATCACAACCCCGCCATCCTCCTCCGAGGATCGCTGCCCTCGCTCTTCGCACCGGCGCGGCGCCGATCCACTTCGGACCTCTCCAGCCGACTTTCTGTGTGGCTTGCGGGGAAGGACAAGCCACATGGTGGGGTTCGTGGCCCCTTGGCCTTGGCCGCAACCTTCGGCACAATCTCGACCTGCGAGTGCCATAGCATGTCCAAGTATCATCCTGGACCTTTGGAGTCCAATCTTTCAACGTGGAAATATCGATCTATACAGTCGAGATGTTGCAGAAGTATAGCTCGACGCACCATCGTGCGTGCTGGCTGTCTTTCCTTCCCGAAGACGATCCTCGCTTCAAATCAACCGAATATTCGAATCTCAGACTGACACACGACAAGGTATGGCGTGTAGAGCCATGAGCGGCCGATTGAGTATGAAGGCCACGCGATGGTGGAGTATGGTAAGTACCTCACAGTTTGAGCATAATGCTCTCCAAGTATGTGTCATTCTCTCTGCCTGACAACTCCAGCTCCAGGCGGATGATCTTTCGCGCTTCATAGAATCTGCAGAATTTGCAACAGCAAGTCGACATGAGTAAAGACGTCTTGGCTTTGACCCCTATTGTTAGGGTGTTCGATGCCTGTCCAGCTAGTGGTCAGATAAATCTATATCATCAGAGCCGAGAGTCTCAATCAGGAAGAGACAAAGACGTTCATGACAACATCTCGTACGAATCGCAGTCGACAGAATCAGTCGATTCCACTGTTACAGACACTTCAAGTCCATCGTCAACTCCTGATACTGACACAATAGTCGTGGCGCCGGTACAACAGAGTGAAAGTCAGCAACTTACAGCACGTCGAGCACTAGGAAGTCAGCCGCAAAGACGAGGGTGTGGAAATTCTTACTTCAAGTACAGAGAGGAGCATCACATTACTCTGTATTTGCTTAGGACAACGATCAAGGGCTCTTGGAACCAGACCACGAGATGTTTCAATGTGATTTATCAGGAAGACATCGCGAATTATGGGCTCGAGAGAGGACTACTACCAACAGCCTTGAAATCACAGTTCGCCTTTCGTCGCACTAGCCAGAGGTCGCTCTGGGAGACCTTTCTGAAGCAAATCAAAGACGACAGTTGTGCCTTTGGCGAAATCAAGAATCGCATCGAGACGACTTTGCCGACGGACGCTACACCAGATAAAGCGTTGCGTTCAAAGAAGAAGACTCGTCGATTCGGCATAACTAGAGAAGACGCTCACCCACCCCTACCAGTCGTACTCTTTAGAGCCTACAATGATGCTAGCCAGGGATCGAACTCATCCGAAGGGTTCGTCGCGAGTTACTTCGAGGGCCACGACAGTCTGCCACCACCACCAAACTACTCAAATTACGATTTGGAGAACACGATCAGAAAACATATCAGCCAACATCAAGACTTCAAGTCTCCTTTGATAAGCACTGGCAGCTGCTTAGTCAAGTTGATGCGTCGTGCAATGAAGGCAAGCGCAAGGGCCAACGACCTGAAGTCATGCAGAATTGGCATAATAGATACGCAAAAGGTTGCACAAGACGACGGCATCTTTTACGCTCGTCCGTATCGCGATCTGTTCCGCAGCATTAAGAAGCTGTTCCCGTGGAGGTACTCCGCAGAGGAAGAATACTTGGTCTGGGGCAGCATACCTAAAGCAGCCATACTAGCCGACCTGTCTTTGCAAGACCTATTATCCTTCATTGCCGAAGATTTTGTTCTATCACACGCTTTCGATACGGACATCTCCTCAGGAAGAGTCGAGCAAATGTGCAGAACACTCAAATGCAAGAAAACATTACTTTCATCAGAGCTCACCGCTGGAATAGCTTGTCTTGTTGCCTTTCTCGGTATGGAGATCAATACTTTACCAGCAATTATCGCCAAACTTGTCTGCGAGGTATTACATGGTTGGTTCATTGTTCTGCCTGTTCAGTCAAGAGAAGCCTGGCTTGCAGAAGCTGCAGTATTTGCTCATAATTTTGTTGACTCGCAAGAGTGTGTGGTCGTCGGCCACGAGGAAATGCACTTTACTGCCATCTGTCAGGCATTCCTGGCTGGTGCAAGAACGTCTCTGAAGAGTTGGGCTGCACATATCGAGATAGACCAAAACCGAGCGCAGGTTGCGATTGATAGAGCGATCAAAGTGGGGCTTCTTGACGCGGAAGAGAGAGTGGCGATGTTGGAAATAGAAGGAGTCAAGTGATCGCTCCAGTTGGAAGTCACCAGTACCTCGAACAAGTTGAAAGCTCCTGCCCTCAGGATGCAAACGACGAAACCAAACTACTGGCAAGAGCAAACCAGTAGACATCACTTCTCTGAGGAACATGTGATAGTTTCCAGAGAAGACTGTTGTAGAAAGTGTTGTACATTTCCATAGCTCCGCTGTTGAAAGTATTTGACGCACAGGGAGAACGAGGCAAGGGTAGAAGCAGATACAGAGGACGGAGGCGACCATATGATCTCTGTGATTTACCACATGTCCTTCAAAGGGGTTTCCATCTTCTGCTCCAACTTGGGAAAGGACGTAATTTTAGGACTTGCGTCGCTGCCAGACGACCAATTCGACACTCTCGGCGCCGGCTGCTACAAACATATCTTTTCGCCAGACCATCGTTATTACACTTTCCTCACCTCTCAAGATGTGTACGATCAACCAGGCCTCCGACGCTTTTGACAGGCCACCTTCTGATGAGAATGATATCATCTTAGATGACTAGTTCGACGAGATAACTCGAAGGCCTGCAAGCAAAAGCCTTCATCAAGAGATCAACGTCATCAGAGCTTATTATCACGGCCACTCAAGCGCGAACGAAGCAGCCTATACAATCACGCGACGTATCACTCACCTTCCACTTCCGATTGAAGGAGTCGTATCACCTTCCTTTGCGTTGATGTTTCTGCTCGCAGAGATTCTCGACGAATGGCCCATATCCTGCATCGGGAGCTTCATAATGCTCCTTCGCGCATTCGAGGATCTTGTGGATGGCCCTCATGACGGACAATACGAGTCGAACGATGGCGGACCAGTGCTGTGGAAAGATCTACCCTGGCTGAGATCGATTTGGCGCAACGACATCTGCTCGGAAGGTCCTGACGATATTTTGAAAAGATGTGCAAAACAACCTGCCATCCGTCACCGCGAGTTCAAAATCTACATCAAGAGGCAAGAGATCTCAGCTCAGCTCACTGCTGCTGGATTACTCGATATAAAGAGCGCGTACTACCTCATCGCCTGGATACTTGAATGGAACCATGAATCCAATGATCTCGAAAAACGCAGAGGTCCACGAAGGCCAATCGTAACATTTATACCGGATTGGTACATTCCAGCAGTTGCCCGCTGGATCATCATCAATGGCAGAAGGTTCTATGAGGACGCGGTCAATCGGAACATGCAGGACTGCTTCAAGCCTCCGCCAGGCTACGAGGTGGTATACAAGTACGATTGCATGTGCAAAGAGCGCTGGGACTTCTGGAAAACGCGTCTCACCGAATTCGCCGATGGGGCAGGAGGGGACGCCGAAGTAACCAAACGGGAGGCCAAAGCCGCCGTTCAACACATGGAATCTGTGGTTGATGTTTGGGAGTTGTCTCGCAATTGAACAGCCATGATTTGAGAGGCATCAAATCAGAACGAGACGTATGGCTGGAACACTGTGGCTGTCATGAAGAGAGGAACCAACACTGCCGGAAGGAAGCAGCTGCAAATGACAGAGGGCACCATCAACAAAGGGAAACAAGAACGTTTGCAACAAGACGTACCGGTACCTGAATACAAGATGTTCTTCCCAGAGTTGAAATCTTTTCCAAACCAAACCTCGAGACTAAAGGTACTTGCTCCGTGTTTCTCTTGTTGGAAGGCTTTCACTCACTTCGCTCCGTCGAATGATGTGTATCGTCCTAACTCTCCAGTTTGGCTCCACGCTTCGATCAATAGTAAGTTCTAAGAGACCTATCTATACCATCCTTACCATTGTGCTAGATCAGTCATTGTCAATCAATGTTGAGTTGGATGATTGCGTTTTATGAGCACAATAATAACTGAATAACCTCTCGAAAAGTAAGATCCTATTCGCCAGCATAATGGACGGCTTGGCTATTGACGCTGGGAGTACTAATATTGGCCCTGAGGCGAGAGTGTCTCTTCCTGCTATCATCCACTTCATCGCTTTGCTTCTTCTTGTTGTCGCATTATATCCCGCTGGTTCGGGTGCTTGCNTTACGCTGTCCTTTCTTCGCCTTCTCACGCTGTCTTGCTGGTCAAGGCCCTTCCATCGCTATGTCGTTCACCAAGTGCTGCTCCCCTGAGTTCGACGTCGACTTTGGTTCGTCCCTCACACCTAGCAACCCCATCACTGATCCCGTCGACGTTCCATTCCGTTTTCGCGACCTGCCCAAGGAACTCCGATTCATGATCTATGAATACGCCTTGTCATTCGACTCAATCGACAAGTACTGCGGCGACTACCTGGAACTCCTGTGCGTCACATCGAACGCCAAAGAGCCTGCTCCCGATGTCGAGAAGGCTTGCCCATCCATTCTCTTGGTCAGCAAGGACATTATCGAGGAAGCTCTGCCCATCTTGTACAAGACTCCTCTCAACATGTCGTTCGGTATCTTCAAGGCCCATCTCCAAGATCTCATTGCACCCGAGTTGCTTCGCAAGCTTCGCTACATCAACTTCTCGGATGCTGGAACTCGTCACCTCAACACTCCTCCTCATGACTGTTTTGGAGGCATTTGCTACGCTGTTACTGAGCTTGCCACCATTCTCAGAGCTGGTCACTCGCTCAAGTCATTCACCATGGACTACACATCAGCGTATCTGTCCTTTCATCTGAGAGATTGCTTGAATGACGGGCAAAAGCAATGTGGCATCAAGAGTTGGGCCCACAACTTGATCAGAGCCCTCAAGGAGCTGCACAGTATTGACAAGGTCTCTCTGACTGTTGAGTTCTCTGAGGAAGTCAAGCAGGAGATCATCAGCTGTATGAAACGTCCGGCTCGTGGTTTCTTCCGCCTACCTCTTCAGGTCCGCCAGAAGATCTACGGCTACGCTGCTGATGTCAACGATGGTGCTTCTACCTTCCAGCTCGCAACCAAGCAGCTTGCNCTTGTAAGTACAACCACGAGACTCTCAACAGCAAACATCAAACTAACCCACATCAGCAACCAAGATCCCACCTTCAAGGAAACAACCACTCCCACCATCTTCCTCGTCAACAGACAAATCGAACAAGAAGCCAACGAAGTAATCTACAGCAAGCCCTTTGTCATCAAAAACCTCTACCCAATGGTCAACTCGACCTTCCTCAAACTCGACGACTTCTTTTCACCTTACACCTTCAAGAAGATCCAACACTTGGAGTTGCACCTGACAGACCACAATCATCTCACCATGCTGCCCACCATCGCCAACATGCTCAGACGCCGCCGTAAGAACAACGTTCTCAAGTCTCTGCACCTCCACTTCTCAGAGCCTCGCAGCAAGCGCTTGATTCTCGCTGTTGGTGAGTATTACCCCGACAACACTGTTTATGCATGCATGCGCCATCTCAACTACTTGCGTGGGGTTGTGGGTAGAGTCACCATTACTGGAAGTATGCCTGCGTGCTTTACTGCTCCCATCATTCACAATATGGGATTGAAGGATTTGAGTGAGCAGGCTATGCCTATCAAGGTGCAGAATGTGGTTGGCCATGAGGTTGATGTGCATGTTGCTCAGGGCACTGCGTTCTACAGAAAGCAGCGTGGTGTCTTGGTTGAGCCTGCGGACGTCATGGAGATTGATTGAGAGGGGAGTCAGGTTTCTGTGGACGATTGCCGACTGAGAGGGCAAGGAGAGAAGAGAAGAGATGGAAACGAGCAACTTTTGATGGAATGAGCCGCTTCGTTCATGGCACAAGGAAGAAGAAGGGGATGGGATGCAAACACGTCCTTTGAGAGCTTGACTGATGATGAGCACATGGCTCTGTTTTCCTTTGTCGTTACTGATCTTGGGTTTTGGATCGCGCCTCTTTGCACACACACACTCTCTCTTATTAGAAGATCCTGCTTTTCTCATACATTACCAGTATATCTTAAAAAAATAAAATTTGAGATTGCTCAAACCAAACTTCTCTTTATTCCAAACTCCTTTTTTTTTTTTTGTCTCCGATGACAATGAATCCAACACCTCCTGTGCAACTCTATATCAGGCACTAATCACAGCTCAATCTTAAACTTCTCTCTGATCATGCCACCATATCTGTAGAACAAAAGAGGTGCAGGAGCAATGGCCAGCGAAAGGAACCCGAACACGCTACCTCCCCATCCATACCCCAAGCTCTTGAACAGAGAAGGCGCAATTAAAGGCACCACACCACCGAACAAACTTCTAAACACTGCTCCAGCGGCAATAGCAGAAGCAGCATACTTTTCGAACGAGTCGATATAGTAGTTTTGCGTGCAGTTGAGGATCATGACCTGGCCCAAGCCGTAAAAGTAGGTAGCGGTGATGCAAAGAGCCCAGTGTGCATGTTTCTCTACAGCCCAGAAGAAGCAGAAGAGAGAGATTGGGATCAATACGGAACCAATGTTTGCGAGAGGGAGACGGTATTCAGGGACTGGATCGCATTTGTTGCGTTCGCCTAGTTTCTTGTACACGCGATCGATTTGCGGCACCAAGAACCAGACGGCAGTCAAGAAGCCGAGACCGGGACCCAGGTAGAGGAGACCGACTTGTTCGGTGTTGAAGCCATAGTCGCCTTCGAAAATGGCTTGCATGTTTGTGTAGATGCTGTATGTTGTTCCAAAGATGAGGGCTTGGTAGGCACTCATGATAAGCACAATCGGCTGCGTGATGATTTTGAACGGTCTTTTTAGTGAATGAGCCAGTTTCCTGCTCAATGGTCTGTCGTCTTCACCTTCGAAGCGGTATTTGCCAGAAGTTCCCTCTTCAGACTCCATGCTGGCCTTTTTGCGGCTGAGTAAGACGGGCGCGTAGGACTCGTGTAGGAAGAAGTACCCGACTACAGTGTTTACGGTGCAGATGATTGTGGTGGTCCAAAAGATCCAGCGCCAGCCTGCTCGTTGCACTATAATGCCGCCAAACAGAGGACCGAGTGTAGGCCCAAGAAGAGGGCCGAGCAGATACCACCCAAAGATGCCAGCTCTTTCTTCTGGTACAAACATGTCCGAAATTGTGCCACCACCNNTATAGGATATTAGCACGAGTCTTTCAACAAGAATGACATGATTCAACAAACCATTTGCGATGGCCACAGCACCGAAGAAGCCTGAAATAGTTCTGACAGCTATCAAAGTGGCAATGTTGGGAGCTAGCGCAGACGGAATTTGGAGGATAGAGAATGCCGTGTAGCAGTAAATGTAGACATTCCTTCTTCCAAACGTTTCAGACAGAGGAGCCAGGATAAGAGGTCCGATACCCAGCATAATGACAAAACCAGTGGTACAGGCGATCACAGCATCTTTGGTGGTGTTTAAGTCATCAGCGATCTGTGCGATACCAGGAGAGAACATGGATGAGGCCAGAGGGGAAAGGACTACACGTATTGTCAGCTTCTCATCCCAGCAACAGCAACAGGATCATGACTTACTGGCCATCAAGGCAATAATGCCTACATTGATCATCTTTCTTCTCCTTGGCCACTGTCTAGGATCACTCTCATCATTCTCGGAGAACGAGATGACCTCGCGACTATCTCCGCCTTCTCCACCATCTACATGACCGTTCTGCAAGAGAGGCTCTCGCTCATCTTGGCCGTTCTGCTGAGGACTCATCTTTACACGGCTTGTTGAAGAAGCACGCGACTGTTGTTGGTGAACAAGAGAGGAATACGGCTCACACAAAGAGGTGACAAGGTTGGTAGACGATCTGAACGATCAAACGCGCGATCTGCATGTCCCTGCAGGATGACGTCTGCATTTTCCTGGGGCATTTTTGAGCCTCCTCATTTTGCTCAGTTATTGTCGATGCCTCATACTGGATGTGATGCACGCTAGCCGACTGCTCCGTATATGATCATCTATTTGGTCGTGGTTGAGCTTTGTGTTCTATTTACTTCCAAGGTTGCCGCCTTGATGAACCGGCTGTTGCATTCCCGCAATTTGCTGTAATAAAGTCGACACGACTACAAGATCATGGGCGTGTTCCCATCATAGAATAAGAACGGAAATGGGAAATGTGTATTTTACAAGATTTATACAATAGAAAAAGACCTGTCATATCATCAGTTCCATGCGAAGCCTCTCTTGTTATCGGCCGGGCTCGTCCTCCTGTTGAGCACTTCCTCGACCTTCTCTCTTACACCCATCTTTCCGCGTGACTTCCTTACAAAGTTGTTGACGACGCCCTCCATGTCGTATCTCGGATTAGATTTGACAAAAGCCTCGATTTCAGCCTCCCGCGGCAGTCCAGTCCAAGCATGAGGGTAATCGGTGTAGGACGAGTCATCGCCAGTGTTGGGAAGTTCGAGCTTGAGCTCGGCGGTGAAGAAAGAGTTGACCTCGCTTTCGGAAACTTCGTCGAAGCTTGTCTTTGCCCATTGAGGTTTCTCAGCAGGCTTGCGAATCAGACGTGCCGAGACGCCCTCAACAAAGTCAGGGTGCTCCATGAACTTGGACGCAATGTTGTGCTCGTTCTGGAAGGTCTGAGCAATGTTCCATTGTGCGCCCCTCCTCAGCTGGGAGAGAGTAACCTTGACACTGGTCGGGCTGCGCTGTGCAATGGTCTCACGGGTCTTTGCAGCCCACTTCTTGACCTCGGGAGGTGAAGTTTCCTCGGTTTCTTTCAGGGCCTCCATGATCTGGTCAATGTTGTGAATATCCTGGAAACAGTAATCGATGGCAATGCGGACGTTGGTCGAGAAATGCGGCGGTGCGTCGTGAGGCATGCCGGTGGTGAACTCCTCGATAGTGTCGTTGATGATGCTCAGGCGGGTGTTGTACGAAACATCGTCGCCAAAGTTGAGCTCGGCCAGACGGGCTTCCAAATCAGGAAGCGAACTGCTGTGGAGGTAATGAGTAGCAATTCCTGACAGGAAAGCGTTGACGCCCTTGATCTGTTCACTGGTGAGGGCGAGGTAAGTGCCTACAGCACCGTCCATGCGAGGCAAGAAGAAACTGGCGCCGACGTCGGGGAAGAAGCCGATAGTGGTTTCGGGCATGGCAAAGACGGTGTTTTCAGTAGCGATGCGGAAAGGAGCGTGGACGCTGAGACCGACACCACCACCCATGGTGATACCGTCCATGAAGGCAACGTAGGGCTTGAGGTAAGTCGCAATGGTGTAGTCGAGCTGGTATTCGAGAGCGAAATAGTCCTTTGAGCGCTGTTGACCTTCGGGGCCGGTTTGGTTGTCCTTGGCCAGAGCAGCAACATCACCACCAGCACAGAGAGCTCTGCCGGCACCCTTGAGAACGATAACGTTTGCCAATTGCGACTTTTGCCATTCCTTCAGACGTGGCAGGATCTTGTTGGCCATGGAGCCATTGAGCGAGTTGAGCTTCTTGGGACGGTTGAGTTCGATGGTGCGGACGCCGTAGTGTGAGCTGAAAAGGACATCGTTGGGGTCGTCTTCAGGTTTTCCAGCCATGTCGGAGAAGGAGGGGTTGTTGATGCGAGCGCGGAGAGGCATGATAGTCGTGGGACGAGTCCGCGAGATCCAGCTCAGCGGTTGAGCAGTGCGGGCGCAAGTTGGTCGGAGCAGCATGTTGAGCGAAGAAGGAGGGGGACGGGTTTCTTAAGCGGGCATGGAATGCGTAGAGCAAGCTTCAGAGCCTCGGTAAAGGGCAAGCCGAAGGTTGCGGGCAAGAGGCGCGACCGTGACGAGATGATTAACAGGAGAGACCAGGACCGGCAGAAGGAAGGAAAGAAGGCGACAGGAAGGTCGAGATGCGAAACAGCAAGAGCGCTGGGCTGGATTGGCGATGCTGGCGTGCTTTGCGATTGTCGACCTGCAATAATTCGAGGAAGGCACGCAGGGAGCCAGACACAAATTCGTTGCAAACAGAGCAAACAGAAAAAGTTGAGCTCCCCGGCGCAACTCTCCCAAGGCACGATTCGCCGCACTCGCTCCGTCGTCTTGTCTTGTCCAATCCACTCGCTGAACAGCATCATGTCTTCGTTTGCCAGTGCCTTCCTGCGTACCAGCCGCGCTGCTCTCCGTAGCAATGGCGCCGCCAACCCCGTCCAGGCCGCATGGGGTCCTCGCGGAGGTGCCTACATGAGAAACTACGCCACTGCCTTTGAGCGCAACAAGCCTCACGTCAACATTGGTCCGTCGCCGCCCTCCTGTAGCCTGCTATGCTCCCACTGACATACCCCAGGTACCATCGGCCACGTTGACCACGGCAAGACCACCCTCACTGCCGCCATCACCAAGCGCCAGGCCGAGAAGGGCTACGCCAACTTCCTCGACTACGCCTCGATTGACAAGGCCCCCGAGGAGCGCAAGCGTGGTATCACCATCTCCACCGCTCACATCGAGTACCAGACCGACAACCGCCACTATGCCCACGTCGACTGCCCTGGTCACGCCGATTACATCAAGAACATGATCACTGGTGCCGCTTCCATGGACGGTGCCATCATCGTTGTCGCCGCTTCCGACGGTCAGATGCCCCAGACCAGAGAGCACTTGCTCCTCGCCCGTCAGGTCGGTATCCAGAAAATTGTCGTCTTCGTCAACAAGGTCGACGCTATCGAGGACAAGGAGATGCTTGAGCTCGTCGAGATGGAGATGCGTGAGCTCCTCAGCAGCTACGGCTTCGAGGGCGACGAGACCCCCATCATCATGGGATCTGCTCTCTGCGCCCTTGAGAACCGTCAGCCCGAGATTGGCGCCACCCAGATCGACAACCTGATGAACGCTGTCGACGAGTGGATCCCCACTCCTCAGAGAGACCTCGAGAAGCCTTTCCTCATGTCCGTCGAGGATGTCTTCTCCATCCCTGGACGTGGTACCGTCGTCTCTGGCCGTGTCGAGCGTGGTCTCCTGAAGAAGGATACCGAAATCGAGCTTGTCGGCAAGAACAAGGTCCCCATCAAGACCAAGGTTACCGACATTGAGACCTTCAAGAAGTCTTGCGACGAGTCCCGCGCTGGTGACAACTCCGGTCTTCTGCTCCGTGGTATCAAGCGTGAGGACGTCACTCGCGGTATGGTCGTTGTCAAGCCCGGCACCGTCACCTCCCACAAGAAGTTCCTCGTTTCCATGTACGTCCTGACCAAGGAGGAGGGTGGTCGTCACACTGGTTTCCACGGAAACTACCGTCCCCAGATCTTCATCCGTACTGCTGGTAAGTCTCGATCCTGAATTGCTGCTCTAAACGTACATCTAACATATTCGACAGACGAGGCTGCTGCTATTGACTGGCCCGAAGGCACCGAGGACGCCGACTCCAAGATGGTCATGCCTGGTGACAACGTCGAGATGCTCTGCTCCCTCCACAAGCCTCTCGCCGTTGAGCAGGGACAGCGCTTCAACATCCGTGAGGGTGGCCGCACTGTCGCCACTGGTATCATCACTCGCATCCTTGAGTAAACTTGACAAAATCTCGCCACCATGGTTTCTCGCCATGCCACTCGGCAACAGCCTCGACTCAGGTCGCCGCTTCGATCAGGCTATCGATGACTGACGCGACCGTCGAGGCCACCCTGGAATATGTCTGAAGGGGATATCTGTACAAAAAGNGTCACCAAAAGCCTCTGTTTCTATCTTCTCCGCTTTCGTCGCATATCCGGTGGGTCTGTACTTTTAGCTATAGTTCTTTGTTTGTTTTTTNNGGGCCAGCAGGAAATGACATGTTATATTATCCAACCAAGTTTCTGGACCCTGCTCTGTGTACGGATTTACTTGCGGGACTTACTTCAAGGACATTGTATGGTTGATCACGGTCCACAGTACAATTTCCGAAAGCTCTTGACCTGGCCGATCATCAGGGATGCATCTCTCGGCACTCTGTCTGCTTCAGCAGTCTTGCTCGGTTCATTGTGCCGTAAACTTATATTGGATGCTGAACCTCATGTCTTGCCTCCTCATCCTTCACGTCGGTTACGCAGTATATCACCATTTCGACGTGCCGCTGCTCGAGAGTGTTTCTCAAACAGACCTGCGTGCTCGTTCTCGCGTGACCACTGTAATATACTGGAACCGGGTGGAGTGAAGCACAACATGACATTATCGACTGATGAAGCCTCTCTAATGGATGCGCGAACCGCGCCTGTTCTGCTCTACTCAGAACATGGCCCGATGGCGCTTTCGACGCTGCACACTTGTTGCATCCAAGAAATCTTTTATTCCCGCAGGAGAGTTCAGCCTTGCTAGTGGAAACAGGGGATGCATGTACGAATGTAACAGCTTTTCTTCTTGCTCGTGCGTGGTTAGCATGTTTTCCTCCAGATGCACGACCATGCATGCAAGAGTGATCGATCCTTCGGGCTTCTGAGGCTTGATCCAAGAACCAGTGTCATATGAATTGGGCCGCCGAGGTGCATCTGAATACAGTCCTGATGGTGGCTGCACACTTTATCGCGTTGGAGTCTGGTTGAGCAGTTTGAACGTGAGTCGTTCCAATGCAGTTGTCGCGTCGAGGATGAGGTTGGAGCTCGGCGGATGAGGCACGGGATACGCATGGGCCATTCGTTCGCAACAGGGGTTTGCTACGACCGCTTCACACTTCGCGTCATCTTTCCAACCACCTTCACCGTTCTGACATTTGCATCACCAACTGTTGTCAACAAAATCGAATGCTTCTACAGGTATCAAAGATCTTTGAACAGCTTCTGCAACGCCACTCATCGGTCATGCTGCCTCCTCAATCAAACTTCGACCATTCGTCTTGGACCCTCATCCTGTGACCCGACATAACGGTAGTTGGCCGAGTCTGTTCGAGTATCCTGTCGCGGACCGAAACTAGTCTTCTTAGCCCTGCATGTCCTCCTTGTCAAAGGCGCCCTCGACTCTACCGCATCCTCTGGGCAAAAGCAGGCTTTAACACGCTTTCTGTTGTGGGTACATGATCTACATCCACGCTCTGCCACAATCCCCGTCTATGATTCCTTCGTTTAACGCCGTCAAAGAATGTCCAATACGCCTTTGACTCGAGTCAACCTTCAGTCCCTAGGAGTGTTGCCTAGTCTGTCGCGATGTGCAGACTAACAGATGCGCAGTGGCTGGGGTGCATCTACATAGTCATGATCTTTTCTACCTGCACGCGTCCTTCCGAATTTTTGACTGTTGCACTGTCACATCCTGCTCTAACTACCAGAGGAAGACTTGAGTCTGTATCTCGCCTCAAATTTCTCTCCTGAACTACAGTATACCTCTTGCCAACTGCCTCTCTTCTCCACCATCGCCAGGTATCACGTCTTCTCTCTCGTGCCATCCCTCCTGTTCATCACATCACACCGAAATTGCCTTAGTGGGAGAAGACCGTCGTCAACATGTCCGACTCACAGGGCCAAACGATCACCACCATATCGGTCATATTTGGGATTCTCAGCGTCCTTGTCATGGCTTTGCGTCTCTACGCTCGAGTATTCATCCTTGGAAAGATAGGTCTGGATGACAGTGAGTTTGTCTTTTCATATCCGACTTCGCAAGCTAATAGGAAGCANGTTCTGATCTGTATCACGGCTCTTCTCGCGTGGGCTTTCATCGTTGCCACAATCGTTGCGGTCCAACATGGACTGGGCTCACACTTTGACGAGGTCAGAGCGAGGGGCCCTAGTAATCTGAACAGCTACATACAGGTATTTCTACACAGCTTAGTCGAGTACATGTATAGTTCGCTGACTTTGGGTNNGTTGCAGACCGTTTGGCTGTCTTCAATCTTCTACAACGCTTGTCTGGGCTTTCTGAAGTCCTCAATCCTCGCATTCTACCTTCGACTTGGAGATACCCAACTCAAGCGTCTTGCGCAAATTCTGCTAGCAGTTGTTGTCTGCCAGGCTATCGCCAATGTTTTCACATGCATTTTCCAGTGCACACCCGTTGCTGCGGCATATACATTAGAGCTCCAGACGACCGCCAAATGTATCAACATCTCGGCGTTCTATCTGACGAACGCGGCGTTGACGATCTTGACGGATTTGTTGACTTATATCCTGCCGTTCCACTTGGTTCGCAAGCTACAGATCACTCGCAGACAGAAAATCGGTCTAGGCATTATGCTCGGGCTCGGCCTATTGTATGTTGTTCCTGTCGCAAGACTTGGTTATCGCAGACACTAACAAGCTCAGNNCACCTGCATGTCGTCAATCATCCGAATCACATATATCCCGAGTATGCTCTTCTCAAAGGACCCGACCTGGACCATTTCAGGACCCATGTACTGGAGCGTGATCGAGACCAACGTTGGAATTCTGACCGCGTCGATGCCTGCATTCAAAGCCATAACCAAGAAATTCGCACCCAAGCTATTGGGCGGCTCCTATGACTCTAACCGACACCCATCGCGATCTGTACACGTCAAAGTCGGTAGCAGCGGCTTTCACAAGATGGGAGGTACTGCTGGAAGCCACCATATAGCCCTCGACACGATTGACCAGGATCTGGGCATGTCAAAAGGTCGTTTCCAGACTACTATAAACCAAGACACCGACAGCGTGTCAAGTGAAGAGGCAGCTCTACATCCGCCAGACAGAATTGGTGTGACGAGACACGTCCACGTAGAAGGAGAATCTCGAAGCGTCTTCGAGGAGAGAAACTCACTCGGCTCCCAGAAAGACCACAGGGAACTCTCATGAGCATTGGGAGTGCTCTCAAACATATACTCAAGGTCATAATCAGGCAGATAGGCGTTCGGATCTGGATCCACCATATTTTCATACCCACACTCCGGCTCGGAAGCGGCTACGTCGTGTGTGTTAGACTGCAGAAGAGGGCAGTATCTGGCATACTGTTCCAATACCTTTTCTCAGCAGACTGTCAGTTCTTGTATTCACAACTAAATTTTGCAAGAGTGACTGTGCTCGGCTCCTCTGCCAGATGATCGTCATGTCTGTCGCGAGTCGGCCCCACTATATCAAGCATTAATATATGCAGACTAATGTACGAGCAGCAGCTTTTCCTTCGCGCCGTCAACCATAGCAATCACGTGAGCCTTCACCGCTCGAGTCAAGAGCTGTTTTTCTGATTATCGTGTTGTGCTACAGTCGCTGTTCAGCATGTTAAAGTAAAGAACTAATTCGGAACAGGACCCTTGTTTTCACGGGACGAACCTACATGCTCACTCATCATCCGGATACTAAACCGCCAATCCCGCAGTGTTTCACGTTATCTTGTTCGGTATATTGGGCCGAGTTTTGATTTCCTTTGGTCAGTGCGTCAATAAAGCTCACCCGAGCATACCCTGGCGAAGTTCCCCTGTCTTCGCTGGTTGTCAGACAACATGTCAATCACTACTTTATTGGTCCGTTATTGTCACGACTGACCATTCAACTTCTTCGATATGAACTTGCATCAGGAGCGGGGCGACAAGACACGCGCCACTGCCTCGTAGGTCCGACAGAGCCACTAATGTTCCCGTGCTTGTGCTGCGGACCCTTCTTACCATCCAAGTACCTTTCTCAAACCTTACTATATCGCTTGCTGGGCAATAATGTTAGCGAGCAACTGCCAGAGTCATCTGGACACGACCCAGAGGATGTAGGATTATTGGGACTACTTGGCTTCTGCCGTCTCGGAATGGCTTCATATGCCAGCAAGTGTTGGGATGGTTGATCTCTAATATGTTCGCAATCATGCGCTCCGAGTGGATTGTTTAAGAAGGAGCCGGGAGTCTCTCGCTCCTTCCTCAGATTCTGTCGTTCCAACCCGCGTCATGGTTTCTTCGCTGCAGAGTGGTAGCTCTGCTACTCTTTCCTTGCTTACCTTCCGCAATCTAGTTCTTGCAATCTTGGGATACATCATCGCTCATGTCGTATACCAGGTCGTCTACTACAGATGGTTCCACCCTTTGTCAAAATTCCCAGGCCCGTTCTGGGGAAGCGTAACGAGATTATGGATCGCGTGAGTGCCAGTATCTTCTCAGGCCCTGTCCACGATTTGGCATGTCAGTTTCTAGTGGGCTGACTATCAGGCAGANTATCACAACTTTAAGGAAGATGAGCACACAGTTTGTCTCGAACTTCACAAGAAATATGGTAGGTGACAAAGTCACCACTGCCCAATCGCTTCAACTTCTGACGTCTTCGAAGGTCCTATCATCAGAGTTACTCCTACACTCCTGCTGGTCAGCGATGCCACAAAATTGCCCGAGATCTACCATCGTCATGCAGACAAGTCGAAACATTACATAACTGGAAGTTTTGGAAATGTCGAGAGTCTGTTCAACATGCAAGACTCGAAGATGCATGCTCGTTTCAGAAAAGTCGCTGCTGGATCTTATAGGTACAAACATCGAATAGTCGAGATGGACTACCGGGCTGACGAAATGATGNNCAGCTTCTCCAACATCAAGAAGATGGAACCTTTGATTGATCTACGCGTCAACGACTGGATCAACGAACTTTCGACTCGCTTCGCAAAGACTGGTGAAAAGATGGATTTCGCTCCTTGGGCTGTATACATGGCATACGATGTCATCTCTGAAGTTGGCTTCGGTGCGCCCTTTGGCTTTATCAAATCCGGCTCGGATGTTGCTGGCTTGATCAAAGGTCTCCACGAAGGCCTTGTTCCTTTCGGACTCATGGCTCGCCTGTATCCTTTTACCGGATGGATCAAGCGGACTGCTTTTGGTGACAAGTATCTTGTTGCCAGACCCGAACAGCAATCTGGTATTGGCACGCTTATGAGATTCCGCGATAAGTTGATTGAGCAAAGGAGGAACGATATCGAAGCCGGTAATACAAATGGCAGAATTGACCTACTTCAGACGTGAGTAACGCCTATTCAAACAACTTCAAACCATGACAACTAACGTCAAAAAAAGNNCTTCATCGACGCCCGCGACGAAAAAGGCCAACCTCTCGATCCCGAATATATCAGAGCCGAAATCCTGCTCGTACTATTAGCAGGCGCGGACACTACAGGCACGGCCTTCCAAGCCCTGATGAGAGACATCCTCACTCACCCTTCCGTCTACACAACCCTGATGAACGAACTCGACACCGCTACTGCAGCCGGCCACCTCTCCGCTATGCCTCAGTACCACGAAGTTGTCGAGCACTGCCCCTTCTACATCGCCTGCATCAGAGAATCCTTGCGCCTTACACCTTCCGCTCCGAACATCTTCCCTCGCGTGGTGAGCAAAGGAGGTATGGATCTCTTTGGCCAGCACATCCCCGAAAACATGGAGGTTTCCAGTAACCCCTACATTGTGCATCGCGACCCTGCCATCTACGGTCCCGACGCCGACGTTTTTCGTCCGTCACGTTGGCTCGAAGATGAAGAACAAACTCGCATCTTCAACAAGTATACCCTAGGCTTTGGATATGGTGCTAGAGGGTGTTTGGGAAAAGAAATTGCGAATATGGAGTTGTACAAGGCGCCTTTGCAGTTTTTGAGGACGTTCAAGTTTGAGGCGGTGAACAAGGAGCAGCCGGCAAAGTATTGGTATAAAGGTGGCATCAGCTACTTTACAGACATGTGGATGAGGATTGAAGATAGAGATACTGTGGTAAAGCAGTAGTAGATATGTTCTTTACGAGACGAGTGAAGCTGTTCTTGGAGTCATGGGGTCAGCGAACGAAAACAATCACAGCCTCTCTCCTGCTTCAATGTCTAGTGCTATAGCATGCTATGAAAATGCACAGCTGCTTGTCGAATCTGATCAGTGACCTAGAGATGTCCTCGGAATGACAACTCTCCTTGGACATTTGCTCTGATTCAAAAAGTATTCTGCATCCATATACTATACAATAAACTCAATCGGCACAAGGAAGAAGACCGACAGGGAGGAAAAGGGTCAAGGAGGAGGAGAGCCAACGCTCTCAGCATGGGAACCAAATATCAAAAATATGCTATAAAGATGCAGCAGGTAGTCCTACGTCCAGAGAGAGCTTTGGAAGTCACTGCTCTCCACCAAGACAAAAGAGAATCTCTCCATCCCGCTGATTAAATCACGGTATTATTCGTTTCGTCCGAGTTTCTTGAGAGAGGTTTCGATGAAACTCCATCTGTCTTTTAGTAAGACTGGCGCTGTTGCTGATGGTTGTCTTGTCCAGATCTGTATTATGAGCAAGTCATTGACATTGTCCAAATCGCGTAGCTGAGATTCATTGTAACGTATGGCAGAATAAAAGTCACTGCACCGTCTGGTCTTTCTGGCTCGAGTTTCTGTGTAAGAAATGCTGGTTGATCTTCTTCTATGGAGGACATGAAGACGAATTTCGCGAAACAGATCTGGAGTTTGCGTATACTCTCGTTTTGTGGCAACAAGATGGAATGGCTGGATAAGATTGAAGATGTTCTGGCAATGCGAAGTAAATGTGATACTGATTCCAATGCTCGACTTGACTTGGTGTGTGCTTCAACATGTACTCGGCCGCGCGTATGTCATCGTGGCGTTTGATGGCAGGATGGTAGACTGTGACATGGAGACCAGATAGGTGAGAGAGAGAGAGCACGCTTTGGCTGTGGATGCTCGGAGTGTTGAGGGTTCTTGGCGACAGCCATGTACTGCAGAAATATTGTTACTGGGTTGTCGTCTTGGTCGTCACTGTAATTCTCAACCGATCATCAAACCACAGATATGGAATTTCGGCTAGTGCTTGTCAACTTCCACTCCATAAACGAGAATGGCAAACAACCCGCTCAACTCGAATCAGAGGATGGTGAAGTGAGAGTTTGATCGATAAAGAGCGTCCTTGACACCAGTGAGCGGGATTGTCAGGGAGTGAATCAGATCGTGTAAGTTCTCTTTGTCGTGGTCTTGGGTAGTCTGTAAGAACCAGATGATTGTGCGATGGTGAAGCGGTTTCTTGTAAGTCAAGACACACTCTGGTTTGTCGCTCTCTAGGGACCGAGACATTCTGGGAGGATGTGATAGAGTAGGTGAAAGCAGTTTACGAACAAGAGAAGAAGAGTGGAGGAAGAGCGGAGAAAGAGGGTAGAGGAATATTGTGATAAGAGAGAATAGTAGAGTTGATAGATTTCTAGGTAGCAGCAGGGCTCGAGTAAAGCCGACTGTTGTTTAACTTAGCATAAGTAAATACTTGAGGAGTTAGTGGATAGTAAAGCGCTTGGAGCACGAAGGACGACCTCTTCTGTCACTTAACTTTACGTAGTAGTGAGTGAGCTAGACATATGAGGTTGTCCTTGCTCAAATTATCCTATAGAGTGGATATATCTTATGTTCTGGATGATGTGGATTGTGTCTTATTAAGCAGAAGGAAGGAGTAATGTTCTAACAATGCACTAGTGAGAAAGAGGAAGATGAGCACAGTAAGTCGCTTCATATAAGGAAGAAATCATTATGTCAGTAATGTGTGGAGTGCAACAAGCGGAAGTTACGCAATGATGATATCCGGTTATAGTAGGTACACCTAGAGCCGACGTAGACACTGCTTACAGTCAAATTGGTCAGCTGCCTAGGGCTAGAGATTAGCCGCCAACGAAGAAATGCACTGCTAGTGAACTTGGCCATTACAGTAGCGCCATGCTTACAGAACTGTATCATACATCAAAGATCCTGGTTTTGAGGCTGCATTACCTTTTTGTGATTCAGTAAAGGTTCGTATTCAACCTATACGTATTATCTCAAGGCACTACCTATTCTCCTGCTTGGCCATGAATTCATCGACTCCTTTCCCCGATCACAAAAGATCGCCATCCTCCAGTTCAAAGTCATCCTCCAGTTCGACTTCATCCTCCCAGTCGGATTCTCCCATATCTTCAATCTTTCTCGCCTTGAACATTCTTAGAAGAGCCTTGTGAGATTTCTTTCTCGTCGCATTCATGATGCTTTCGATGTCCCTAACCTTTCCGCGCTTGATGTCTCTGACATGTTCATCCACCGTCTCTGTGACTGTAATAGTTACTAACGTCGTCTGCTCTGTTTGACCAATGCGAACGATTCGGCCGCAGGCTTGTTGCTCGGTAGCTTCGTTGAAGTAATGGTCATAGTTGATGAGGTATCTGTAGCCTAGTCAGCCAAAGTTTCACATGTCATGTGGCGAGGACTCACCNNTCGCAACCATCAAGTTCAGACCATGACCTCCGACCCCGTTAGTGGCTAGCATGATATACTTATTCGGATCATTGATGAACTCATCCACACTGGCCTGTCTCTCTGCGGATGACATGTCTGAACTCAAGATGGTGAGCCCCCACCCTTCTTCCCTAAAGGTATCAGCAAGAAATCTCTGAGAGTCTTTGAAGCTGGTGAGGACAACAGCTTTAGCACTAGGATCTCCTGAATATGGATCCCTCCAATCTTTGAGAAGTTTGACGACCTCGGCAGATTTACTTGAAGGGATGACTTTGCCGCTATCGTTCAGCCATCTGGATCTTGCATTCTTCTCATATTCGGCTTCCTTGATCAGTCGGCCTATAGGGCACTCACAAAGCTTGCATGGCGTGCTACCGAGATTCTCCTGTGCGGGAATGTGCATTTGGTTTTCGAGACAACCGTAGCAGTAGGCATGTTTGCATTCTGCCCATCGAGGATTCATGGCTCTTTGATCGCATATGACACAAGTAATACTCTTTTGGAGCTCACGCACAGCCGCAAGATATTCATTGGCGTGTAAGTCCATGGAGTTCTGCGTGTCTGCGCATATTCTGTTTTGGATAGTATCGACATCCTCATTTGTCAGGTGTCCAAAATAACCTGGCCGAATAAGAAGTACGTGACCTGTCATCTGCCTCAGCACCATGAGTAGGTTCAAGGCATATTGACGCGCCTTAGTATTGTCGGGATTGGTGACCTTTTCTGTTGCAAGTGTATCTAAGCGAGCACGTAAGACCTCGTATATGATCCTTTCAGGTAGCGACAATTCTGTGATTATGTCGATGGATGTTGACTCTGGTATCGTAACAAGTAGATGGCCGAAGAGTTCGTGTGCATATGTCCAGCGAAATAATGTTTCTTTCAAAACGGTCGATATCCAGTCGATGTCAATCCCGTTCTTGCCTCTCTCGTCATTCTTGCCTTTCTTGGCTTTCGTACCACTCTTGCCGTTCTTGATATCTTTGCTGTTCTTGACAATACCTTGGCAACAGATTCTGAATTTTTCGATTGTGAGACCAGAGACGATGGGATGGCCAACAAAACTCAGGGTGGTATACAGATCTTCTGCGTTGTTGATCATGACGGTTCCCGTGAGAACCCAACGAAACTTGGCTTGAAGCTTCAGGCATGCCATTGAACGCAGTGCTTTGCAGTTCTTGATAAAGTGACCCTCGTCGAGGTAAATCGCGTGGAATTTGAAATGATGTAGTGCCTTCAGCTTAGGCAGAATCTCGTCCTCGAAGTATTTGTCCTTCTGTGCATCAGACTCGGCGTTTTTGGNGTATGCAAAATTCTTGAACCCGACGCAAAGTTCAGAGTATGTAGCGATGACAACATCGGCCTCCGCGAAGTCCTCCAATTGAGACTTCAGGCTGGTCTTAGTCGAGTAGAGGTGAATGCGACCAAGTCCGAAGTAGTCCGGTGAGGGTTCTCTGACTGTGTGTCTACGAATCTCGTTCTTCCATTGCTCCTTAAGACCTGTAGGCACCAGTACGAGGTTGGTTATCGACTTTCCTGAGCCAACCGAAGTCTTATCGCGCATCATACTCGCCAGGGCGCTCAGTGTCTTGCCCAGTCCTGCGTCATCGCCTATGATAGCCCCTGCAGGGCCTTGCATGCTGGTCTCTCGCTTTCTCATTTGACCAGCGTTGATAAGCTGATGATGATTGAGTGGCGTGATCATGCCTTTGAATGACCATAAACCATCTCCTTCGTAGTCGATCCAGTCAGGCGGGAATTGCATGATGGCGTCGAGCACTCTTGCACTATCATGAATCGCAGCTTGCTTCTTGTCCGGAGGTGCGGCTGCAACAAGAGCTCTCAGGATTCTTTTGATAGCTTTGTTCATCTCGACAAGTCTAGAATATTTCGACGGTCTATCCGGAGCCTCATTTCGCTTTCTCTTGGAGCCTGCTGATGTATTGGTCGAATCGAGCCTTTTCTCGTTGTCCGACTCGCCTTGTTGAACAAACATAGAAGATGAAGGTTGCCTTCTACGTTTGATGCCGCTCAGGGAATGTCCAGTATTAGTTTGTTCGAGCTTCTCCTGTTCTGCTTTTGCCTCTTCATACTGCTCAGCCAGCTGATTGAAATATACCTCTTCCTGAGGCGGAACTCCTCCGTTTCTTTTCATAGTCATGTATGCGCCGCATGCTTCGTTGTAACGCATTTGGATGTGCTCAAAAGGCTCTTTTTGGGCCTGCAAGCTAGCACCGTTGCCCTTCATGAGTGCAATTAACTTTTGCTGCTCTATAAGCCATGCCTCCTCTGTTTCCGGCGAGCTAGCTTCCATATCGATGGAATGCTGGCTTACTGTGGTAACTACCCAGAAAATATAGAAACTTGTGTCCAAGGCAGTGGAGAATGCATAAGCCGATCGTCAGTCTTTCTCTGCTAGATAGTCCAGTGGCTACGTTGGTGCCCCTGTGCCACATGTACCTCAATGAGAGGTCTGAGGTCGACAGAGCAGCAACGCTAATTCGAGGTGTAAGCTGCGGCTTGATAGACGCTATATGACCTTGTCGGTGATTGAGGTAGAGTGATAAGATGTTGAGGACGAACGAAGCTGTTAGAGATAATGAGGAGAACTGAGCGGCGAGAAGAAAAGGAAGTGGAAGGAAGAGGTCGTTGTTGTTGTTTTTGTTATTGTTGACGTTGTCGTCACGGTTGGTGTTGTTGTAAGAGAGGGGAGGATGCCAGAAAGAACAAGACTAAATAGTGGTTGAGAGGATAGACAGTGAGGTGTTCGTGAGTTGTGATTATTAACGAAACGAAAAGCGGGTGAGGTAGGCGTGGGAGAATTGAATGTATAGAAGGTGGAAGTGAGGTAGATACGAGAAGTGAGTGCATGAGGACTGCTGGAGAAGCCAAGCAAAGGCATAGTTTGATCAGGCAGCACCAATGCTGGCTGGAGGAGGAAGGCGTTCACGATGGATGGCGTTGACGTCGTATGGAAAAAAAGTTGTTGTTGGAAGGAAAAGGGGCAGGAAGTAGTTTTAACAATAAACGTTGCTTGATCAGAGAAGGAAGGAAAGCCAATGAGAAGTGAAGTAAAAATACACGAACCAAGTGAGAGAAAGGTTGGGTTCATCTGAGAGAGGGTTGTCGGTCGAACTTGTTTCACCAAGGAAGTTTGCAAAGGCAAGCTTCGCCATTTTGATGCAGTACAGAATGGTCGTCTCGCGTGCATCGGCACAAGTGGGATGATCTGGCAGGTTTCCAGGTCGGGCTCCAGACAGCAAGGTACCCGGTGTTTCATAGGCAGATTCACAACGACGCCCATCCCAAGGTCATGATCGACAAGACTTTCCAATGTCGCAATGCACAAATTGACTACACAAAATAGTTATCCGAGTCGAGCGCCGAGTAGTTTTGCAGCATTGCCATAGTACACTCCCTCCTTCTCGGTGACATTCAAGAAGTCTACCTTGTTGACCTCGTCCGCAAATGCCTTGTAGATCTGTGCTGGCACTCCAGGCACATACGGATAATCAGTGCCCAAAACCAATTTGTCGGCCCCAATCCCATAAGCCAACAACCCCTTGACCTGATACGGAAAAGTCGGGCCAGCAGTGTCCCACCACAATCTTTGCTTAAACACTTCCAGCTGAGTTGCAAACGCCGCAGGAGAGAAGCGCGAAAGCATTCTGCTGATGATAGAAGGGAAACTACCGCCAGCATGAGGTACAATGAAGTCGAGCTTTGAGAAGGTGGACAGAGTGGAGGAGAGCGTGAGATCCATGAACGTTCTTGCGGACTCAAAGTAAAGCTCCACCAAGCCGTCAGGGTAGATGGTTGGGTTTGCGATGATCAAGCTTCCATTGCCGTTTGGGATCCTCATGCATGGCTCATTCGGATGCACGAAGACAATCTCGTTGGTGGTGGTGTTCGTGGAAATGTTGAGGAAAGAGAAGAAAGGCTGAATTCGAGGATTACCAAGATAGTAGCCTTCGTGATTGGAAAGGAGTCCTATGCCTGCAGCACCGAGGTGATCGAGGGCATAGCGGGCTTCTCTGATGGCTGCATCCACATAGGGTAGCGGAGTGACAGCGAAGAAGCCAAAATGAGAAGGGTAGGTACGAGACAGAGCGGCTAGATATTCGTTCAGTAGCCTAGCCAGAGCAGCTGCTCTTGCTTCATCGTCTACGTAGACGGTACTGCCAGGTGCTGAGATGGAAAGAATGCTTTTGTGGATGCCGACGGTTTGCATCATGCTGAACTGTGCTTCCAAGGTCCAGTTTGGAGTTGGGCTTTGACCCGTTGTAGGGACGAGTGCATGATACCATGTGGGTACTACGTGAGCTATACCATGTCAACTAACGTTGAAGGCAGGAGATCAATCGTCGCTCGGCTCACCATGTACATCGATCCTTGACGCGTTACCAAATGGTGGTAATGCAATTGGCGTATAGGCATTCTCGATCGAGTCGAGAGCGGCAGTCACAAAAGACAAGACCGTCAGATCGATGCCGTCTGCTTTTGCGGCTGCATAGATGGAAGCACTTCCCGATGTGTTGAAAAAAAGAGTACTCTGTGCAAAAGCACTCCTCAGAAGTACGGAGGACCAAGTCAAAAGTGCCAACATAGTTTCTATCTGATGATACAGATCTTGAAAACTTTGTTGAAGCGGACGAGTCTCGAGGTTGGAGAGAGAAACGTACCGCATGTCCAATATATGACATCGGACCGGATGCGGGCCTCACTCGATAAGCACTACCAAGCAAGTAGCTGCGGGTTACTATGATCTCGGGAGCGCTTTTTAGGCACGATATTTAAGCGAGCATGCCGCTTACTCCATGTTCCTTGTTACCAAGCCGCGATTGGCCTGGCTTACGATAGACTATATACACAGGTCAGTAGTAACTACTTCCAGTCCTTTGGTCGGTTGTTTTTGGTAGATCCGCAACATCGTCCTTCTAGTTGCGATGCTCGGGACTGAGGGTGTGTGGCTGGATATCATGGATTTTGGGTATAATACAATCTCATGCCCACGTGCTAGTCGTACAAGAGAGCGGCTTCATATGTGTACAAGCCTCCTAGTTCTTTTTCTCAACCTCTGACTTGACTTCGGCCTCGGCCTGAGCCTCCTTGTGCTTGCCCCAAGTCCAGACGTCCCAGATCTGGTCGAGGATGATGTCGCTCAGACCCTTGCCCTCAGCAAGAGCCTTCTGGTCTTCTTGTGCTCTGCGTGCTCGCCAGCCCTCGGGCTTTTCATTTCCATAGTAGACCTGCTCAAGGATATTTTGCTTGTTCTCTTGGGCAGCCTCAACTCCAGGGTTGTCGCCAGCGGCTCTGGCCTCGCGTTGCAGCTTCAATTGACGCTGGAACTCACGAGCCTTGTCGGTGGGTAGTGATGTGTCGCCCTTTGGTCGCATATCCTCGGCCTTCGAGCCGCCAATGACTTTCCAGATGCTTTGGCCTTGTGATTCACGGTATAGGTAGTTTGCGGAGAAGCCAGTCATGCCGACCAGAGAGATTGTGTAGAAGTCTAGTTTGCGCGGCGGTAGAGCGGCAAGAGCTGGGCAGACTACGAGACATGCGATGGCGGCGCGGTGCAGTGTGACCTTGTAGCGTTCCGTCTCGTCGACGGTGGGCTGTCGCGTAGGTTCTTGAGGGTGTGACATGGTGTGTCTTGTGTATTGTCGCTCGTATGCTTGGTGAGAAATGTGTTGCTGTGATGGACAAGTGCTGTAGAATGGTGATGGAATTTTGGAGAGGCAGAAATTCCATCATGACCTCGGCCTCGATGACGCGCTGCAACCGCTCGCTGTCACACGCCATTCGAGCCCCCTACTACAACAGCTCCATCGCCCTCTACTTCTCCCTTCGTTATCACTCTGTCATAACCTCTCTCAAACCTCGTAAGCTTCTTATGAAAAGATTGAAACATCAAGATGCCGACAAAGAGTCTATTACTTGTCTTTATCCACGGCTTCAAAGGAGGGGACCACACGTTTGATGGTAAACAGCTTCCTGCCACTAGTCGTGAACACGTTACTCAACAAGTACGGTANGGCTTTCCGGACCACTTCAGAACTCTTGTGCAGAACGCTTTACCGAAGATAAACGTTCTGTCAATTGTATATCCCAAGTTCGAGACACAGGGCGATCTGTACGAATGCGTGACCAAGTTTCACGCATGGTTACTCGACAAGTGCATCGACTTGGAAGTTGCAAATGGCACACCGTCACCGACTGTCAACCCTTCGGTGAGAGTCGTTCTTGTCGGTCACTCCATGGGCGGTATTGTAGCGGCAGAGACATTGCTAAGCATTGCTCGCGATCAACCTGTACCCTCGAGTCGCACCTTCTCATCCGCTCAAGACGACTCGGGACTCGGCAACAAGACCACGTCAAACCCAACATCCGTGAACAACAGCACAGTCAACCTGGCAGTTCCCGAATCACAACCCAGATCTTCATCTGCGCCTCCCCAAGAGAAGCCCCCAATCCCCTCTCAAGACACGGATCCAGCAAAAGCTCCCGAGTTCTTGTTTCCTTACATTCAGGCTGTGCTTGCTTTCGATACGCCATATCTAGGTATCCATCCTGGCGTCGTGGCTCATGGTGCCGAGGAACAGTACAATACAGCATCCGCCGCCATGAACGCCTACAACCAAGCCTCTCAGCTCTTTGGACTTGGAAAGTCAACCAGCAGACCCGTGCCTCCAACAAAGGTTCCCGCGGGTGCTCTTCCGCCCCCAGAGGCCGGTGCCTGGGGGAAATGGGGCAAGTATGCCATGTTTGCGGGTGGCGCTGCAGCCTTAGCAGCAGCTGGCGGTGCAGTATGGCAAAACCGTGAGCACATCTCCAAAGGCTGGGCATGGGCAGGCGGCCATCTCGAATTCGTTGGCTGTCTAGCCCGTGGTGCTGACCTGACCAAACGTATCGAAAGCGTAGCCGCCCTCAGTTCTTCCCACAAGATTGGGTTTGTCGACTTTTACACGTGCCTCGACACACACAAGCAAGGCAAGACATACTACTCTGAGCAACTACTGGGCGAGGAAAGAACTTTTTGCGTAGTGCCAAAGGAGGCAAAAGAACCACGAGGTGAATCACCGCTCAAAAAGCGCAAGACAAGCAATGTCGTGGACAAGAAGCTGAAAAGTAAAGGCACCTGGGTCAAATGCATCAACGAAAAAGCGAGCAACGAGATCAGCGCCCATGTTGCCATGTTCACACCAAAAGACAATCCTGACTATTACGCCATGGCCGATAGAGCAAAGGTTGTTTTGGTAAAGGCAGTGGAAATGGACTGGTATTCGACAAGTTCGCCAACCCCTGAGCCTGAGCCTGAGCCCGAACCCGAGAAGCAGAGTCAGTCAGGTGCCGAACCCACGCAGGCTTGATGATGGGGCAGCGACAGTCTTTGTATTGTTAGATCGTTATAGATACCCCTCATCGCACAAATTATCCCAGCCTTCGACGACGAGTCGCATTGTCATGAAACTCTTTTGACTCGAGCTGGCGAGTGGGATGACGCATCACGCGTCGTGCGCAAGTCCGGGAAAGCCCCTCGATTTCGTTGTCGTAACGGCAACATTTCTTTCTTCTCCTTTGATCCACAGATAATACCCTAATTACTCGACCTACATAATGCTACGGTAGATAGCAATTGGATATTCAGCATACATTCACCCAACATGCCCGTAGCCCCAGGACCCAGTCGGCGATTCGTGCTCCTCCTCATCGGCGTCTCGGCCTTCCTCGCATTCACATTCGTCTTCTCTTTCCGCTCCCATGAAGCCGGTGTCAGACATCCCTTAGCTGGAGGAAGAGGTGGAAACCCGACTGAAGTCGTCGATGCCAAATTCGCCAACCTCGACCGACTCGAGCTCCAAGACTCGACTCTAACCGGACATGTGATTGCCCCCAAGCTCGGCAACGAAACGGCNAAAGTACGTCGCAATAGCTCGGCGCATACCTTGATATGGACACATGACTAACGAGTCTTCTTCAGAGCCGAACTCGGTCGTGCAGCATGGAAGCTCTTCCATACGACCTTCGCCCGCTTCCCTGACAAGCCCACGGCCGAAGAAAGCTCCGCCCTGAACGCATATATCCACTTGTTCCAGCGACTATACCCATGGTACGAGACTTATCACCATGCCCAGTCACTCTAGCTAACACACAATTCANNCAGCGGCGAATGCGCCGGTCACTTCCGAACGATCCTCGACAAGTTCCCTCCCCAAGTCTCGTCACGATCAGCAGCAGCAGCCTGGGGCTGCCATGTCCATAACGAGGTTAACAAGTCCTTGAAGAAAGAGATATTCGATTGTTCCAACATTGGTGACTTCTACGACTGTGGATGTGCAGATGGTGAGGCACCGGAAGAGGGGGACAAGAAAGAGATCACACAGGCGAGGAAGAAGTTTGACCCGCCAGAAGACGTTCCTTTGAAGCTGGAACAAGATGGGTGAGTTGAGTCGATACCTTGGATCTATCGAATCAAGCTGATAATAGACTTTCTAGATGGGGCCGAGGAGGTTGATTGAGGAACACCTAGCCACCTGAAATACCCGACTAGACATTTATGAACAATCTTTAATCTATCACCACTACTGGTACGCCTCTTAGACCAGCACAAGTCCACCCTTTCCTTCCTTGCCCTATTCTTGATATTTACCCCACATTACGCAAGGGCGAGAAGCCGATGGCCGAACGAGCCGCATCGCGCTAGCCTCCGCATACCAAAATAAATAGCAATCGACTTTTTGCTCAAAAATTCCTAGAAGCCTCGTCTCGTTTCACAAATACTCGCCATCATCTCTCTACTGCCTGCAACCGCTTTCAGACTTCTCAATACCGTCCTCGACCAAATCTGGACTACCACGCAGAGCCGCGACTTCGTTGCGACACAGCATAACTTCGCCAGCCGCGCGTTAACCCGACATGGTTTCCTTCTCGTGTGAGGTATGTGCCGAAAGCATTGAAACATATGCACTGCTCCTGATACTAATCCATCGTTCAGGGATGCGGTGACATCCTTACCAAGAAGAAGCTCGACCCCCATGCCAACCAGTGCTGGGGCGCATCTTTTACTTGCATCGACTGCATGGTCCACTTCCAAGGCACCGACTACCGTGCGCATACCAGCTGTATGTCCGAGGCTCAGAAATACCAGGGTCACCTCTACAGGGGCGAGAAGAAGGGCAAGGGTCAAACCCAGAACCAGAAGAAGCAGGAACAGGCACTCGTCCAGACCGAGGCACCCGAACCCACCACTACCGACATCGCCAGAACCAATGCCCCGCCAAAGGCTCCCTCTCCTCCTCCATCTGGTGCTGAGCTGCCTCCCGGCGTGAACGTCTTCGACTACATGGACACCACTCCCGCCAAGATTGAACCCGCACCTTTTGTTACTCCGGCTTCGAAGCGTGACCGCGAGGACAAGACCAAGAGCGATAAGAAGCGCAAGAGAGACGAAGACATGCCAGAACCTACCTCTGCATTGCACACTGGCCTCACAGGTGGCCTGAACAGAATGTTGTCCGGCCCCGACTTCGGCGAGGACGGTGCTGCCGCCAGCCCTCTCAGCCCCAAGAAGCGCAGCAAGAAGGATAAGTCAGAGAAGGAGTCATCAAAGAAGGCTTCATCAGTCAAGGGTTCGTCCAAAAAGTTGACGTCTTCAGACGCGCGCGAAGACAAGCAGCTCGTCAGCAAACGCTCTCCTGCAGAGCTGTTCTTGAGTTTTGTCGACAAGGGCCCTGAGAGCGACAGCGGCTTGAGCATCAACAAGGCTCTCAAGCGCTACCACCGTGAGCGTCAAGCCCAGGGCAAGAAGGACGACGGCGACAAGGATTTGTGGAAGGATCTTCGCATCAGGAAGAACGAGAGAGGAGAGTTTGTTCTTTTCATCTGATTGGGTCGTGGGTTTCGAGCGACATGTATTATACCAATATTCGTTTATCATGGTTTGGAGCGCTGGCCGCCAGTGACAAAATTCACTGTTGACAAGCGGGGCTGACTGCCCAATCTTCTTCCTTCGTCGTCCAGCGCATCTCACACATTTCCAAATCATGAGCGAGCGCCATCCACAAGTACACTCTGCCATGTGCTGTTCTTGGCTGCCGAGTGCAAGCTTCTTCTCGGGCCAGCATGCAATCTGAGACGGCTGTCACAGCGTATGACTGACCAGGGCGCTTAGCTACTCGTCGACCCAATGAGGGCTCGCAGCGCATACAGATTTCCGAGCCCGCGCGTTACAAGAGCCTTCGATTGGCAACTTTGATCGCTACTTTAACGCAACCGGGACTAGACAGGGCGGTAGCATCCATGCCAGAAATAACCATACTCGAGGCGATTCGTGCGGTGACCCTTGCGGCTTACGCGCCGCCCAAGTCTTTTGTCTTGAGTAGAGGTCTTGTTTCGTCCAGTCTTCTTGCTTTCCAGGTAAGCATACAAAGTCGGCTTATATACTCTCTTTCGTTCTGCTCTCTTGTGCTTTCATAGTCACAAATCACCCGTCCGGCTGAGATTCATATCTACCTTGCTCTTGTTCTTTAGTCAAGTCATTCGCTTTGTTCATTCTTTTCCTTGACGTTGCAACATGGCGGCCCGGAGTATCTCTGCTCCCTCGGTCATTGAGACCAAGTCCAATGACGACAAAAGACCCAAGAGA